TATTTTTAACCAAGGATTCGTTTTGCTCATGTCATTAGTCTGCAGACCATTTCCCCCTCCCTCCAAAGAGAGAGACAGAGACCCTCAGTTCTATTTGTGTGCCTCATGTACAGTTATGCTGCAAATATCAGTGTGGGATTCAAGCACCAAGGTTACTTTTAGTGTTTCATTATGCATGAGAGAGCATTCATTTACGAGAATCCATAAAGAGGACGTGCACAGCCCCATGCTATGAGCAGTCCAGATCATATCAAGTATTGTTGTTTCTTTGCATTTTGTTATTCAGTTAATGCCCTGCAGAAATAGACCTTATGTCCAAACAAAAAGATATTTAGCAGAAACTGTAAAATGTCTCCTAAACAGGGTGCAGAATATGCAAATAGAAAGATGCACAAAGGCATGAATTGAGGCCAGTTCTGGATGTTTAGCATTATGAGTTGTGAAATAAATGAGACAGCATTATAGCATACACATAAAGCTTCACATATGCTTTTTCACAGCCTTTACTTAATATACATAGGAAGCTCTTCAACTATTCATGCACTTGTGAGTATGGGAATAGGTTTTGCAATACTGAGTTCCACAGTAATGTGGTTACAGTTTATCCTGCACAGTTCCAGATAGAAAACATGGAGATCTCATTTTATTATTATTATTGTTATTATTTACATATCACTTTTCTACCCTAAGTAGAAATAATCCACAAATATTGTTTTCATCAAAACAAGGAAAACATTGTGAAACATTATAAAAAACCTAAAATATCATATAAGAGCAAATAAGTAATAGCAGCAGCCAGCAATTTAAGAACTTAGCTCCGAAAGGATTGGGGTAATAATAATAATAATAATAATAATAGCTTATACCTGCCTTGTTCCCAAAAGGAGATGTGAATCCCAAAACTTATAAATTCTGCTGGGGGTGCGGAAAGCCTTCGAAATAAACTGCAAAATAAGCACATTCTGTAAAGCCTTAAAAGATTATCCAGCTGCAGGATTTGGGCCCACTATCACAGAATTTGGAATGTTACAATGAAGAATTTACGAGTTTTTAAATGTATATTTGAAGGAAAAAAAACCTTTGCTTGTGAACTTTCCATTTTCCCCCTGCAGACAAAATGTTCATAAAATCATTGCTTTATTGAGTCTACACAAGAAGTTCCACCTTTAATGACCCTAGACACAGACAGCGTGTGGATGTTTGTCGGAGACATCAATCACTTTTACTCTTTGCCCCTAGAAAAAGCGACAGAAGTTCTTGACTTATGTATGACACAGTTTATTTAAGATTGATGAATTCTAATGATATCAGGAAACTTAAGATAGATAGCACTCCTTCAGATTACTTAGATTTTCTGCACATTGCTTGCCAGGGATCCACTTTCTGCAAAGGTTCCTGCCTGTTTGAAGAAAAAAACTGCTTTGTTTCAGAAAAGCCAGTTGAACAGGGTTCATTTCTTACTTGTTTCAAAAGCCTGGTGTGCTTAAACTATTACCACAGCTGTTGGAGCAACTGTGTTGTTGCCTTTTGTAAAAGGAAAATGGATCCTATGGAATAAGAGGCAATATATTTTTCTGAAATTCTGAAATTCTTCCATCTGGATCCAGCTAGAAGTCAGGTTCCTAGAGGAGACTCATGTGTGTAAATGAATGCTGAATACAGAATTCCCCACTCCAATCTAGCAACCAAGATGCTACATACAGAGGCCAATAAACAAAGAGCTGGAATCCCAGGAAATCTGGAAGAACAGAGCACTGGATGCAGCTCTGCCCCAGCTTCTCTTTCCTGTCAAACAGTGGGATCCAAGCTTCTTTCACTGACCAGGCTATGTGTGCACACCCTTGGCTGTTGCACAAACATTAGGATGGATCATGGCTTTGGAGTTTCAGTATTATTTCATTTCTGGTGTTTGAGCTTTTCCATTTTTGGCTATCAGTTTCAATCCATCATGGAACTAAGCATGGGAAAAGGGTCATAGCTCAGTTGCAGAGCAAATGTTTGCATGCAGAGGTTAAATCCCCAGCATCTACGGACAGGGATGGGATTGTCCCCTGCCTGATACACTAGAGAGCCACTGCCAGTAAGTCTAGAGACTCTAGAGTCTAGACAATATGGAGCTAGATGGTCCAGAGGTCTTATTCAATATAAGGCAGCTTACTGTGCTCTACCAATATTCCTAGACTGACATTCCTACCCTATTGCAAGGAAGAACCGTTCTGCTTTTCACAAGGTTAGACTCATTCATGCAGCGCTTACATTTATGACTGCAATTGATGTAATAATGTGTAGTTTTGTTGGTCAGCTGGAAGGAAAATGTTTTCCTTCAACTTCCCACTGTTGGAAGTTTTGCATTTATCCTCTATTTTGTGTGTTATGTATACAAAGCTTTAAAAATTAGTACTGTATTTACTGCACAATCCATTTAGCATTGCCAAATTGCCCAGACTCCTCTCAAAATTATGCATTCAATAAAAAGAAAACAGCTGCCAACATGAATAATTTCAAACAAAAGCAAGTACGCCATCCAGGCTAGTAATGCAGGCATTACAAATAGGATTTGTTTTCTTTTGTCATTTATTTTTACAGCTGAATAGTTCTGCGACAACCAACCAATACATAAACAGAAAATCACTGACAACCCCTATAAAAACATTATTTTTTTAAAAAAAATAAGCATCACCCACCTAATTTGAATTGTGTTTGTTTTTATCAGGCTGTGTGTATTTTGGTACCCCATATAAGCATCCCTCACAGTCCATCTGTACTTCGTTTACTCTGGATTATAATGAATTTTTGTAGTTGTCTGAATGGTTTTCAGAGCAATAATTTGCCAGTTGTATTATGGTGAAGAATCAAGTCAATTGGGGAATGACCCAGTAGCCTCTTTCCTCAAGCAGAAAGGAGGGCATGGAAGAGCTCTGTCTAGGAATGTGTCCTAATTCTGCTATCCCTCACTCTGCCAGCTCTGAACTGCTGTTGAATGTTCAGCTGTGATGTTAAGCCTTCTCATGCCATAGGACAAACACAGGTGGAACTTTTTAAGAACAATGGGATTGGTTCGTAAGCATCTTCATTACATTCAATTCATACAAACTTTTTCTGTCCCAAGACAACTTCTGAAACTACCACTTCAATCCAGCAGCTCCATAGTACATATAGCTCTCTGCATGAGCTATCCAACTCATTTTAATGTTGAGGAAGGCCCCAGGGACCCCACAGGTATTTCATTCCTAGCTTATGTGCTTTTCAAATGTTAAAAAGAGGTTCACTTAGAAGCCTCTTAAAAACACTTTGGTTTAACTCTCCCACTGAAATAAATTGGAAACTTCTTAAAAGTTAATGTCTATTACACCTGAATTATAGATGACCTGCCATTTTTCTTTTCTTTTTAGGATTTTTAGTTTAGCTGTGAAGCCATTGGTTGTAGGATACTTCTGGTGGCCTTAATTGGTCTATTGTAGAATAAAGCCCCCCTCCCACCCTCTCTCTCTCTCACACACACCAACCAACCATACATGTGAGCCATTTCCACATGTATCTCATCCTAGCTCTTAAAACCAAACTGCTGAATTGCTCAAGTTTACTCCTATTGGAGAAAATGTCAACTGAATTCAAAAGAAGAATCCAGGCAGAAAGCCTTTTTAAGCGATCAAATTGTCTCTTTTTTGGTGACTGTAAAGAAATTGAGAATGAAAGAGTGTTTTCCTCATCCACTGCAGACTGGTGATATCAAGTCATCCCAGAGCACAGGGTTGTTAAACAAATCAGCTTTTGGTCTGGAGCTGCATGCAAATGGATATTACTTGAGCAGTGAAGTTGCTCTGGAAATGTATGCGCTGAATTGTGTTCAGGTGAACAGTTTCCTTTCCAGGATCAATTTTAAGAAAATGTGTTCCTCCAGTTAATAGAAAGAGGTTGTACAGAAAGGTGATTGGATGGTAACTGCCTCATCACAAATCTACCTTTCATTGCCGCCATTGCCCACTTAATCCATGGAGCAATTTTCAACTTTTTCATTCTTCTTCTTCTTCTTCTTCTTCTTCTTAAAAAACTAACATGATGAACAAACATCTAAAATGAGTAATGGTGTTTTTTGGGGGGGTGTTTTTTGTTTGTTTTTTAAAAGGGGACAGCCACCAGAAGTATGTGAGAAAGCAAATGTTAGAGAACTGAATAAGCAAATTTCTCCAAAGTATGTCTGTTTAATGGATTGCAAATGTGGTTTTGCCCCAATGGAGGGGGAAATGTAGTAATTGGGGCCTGTTTAAAGTTGTGTTTGTATGCATTCTGGCAATCATATTATAATTAGTGGGCCTGACCATTTGTGACCTGGGCAAGGTGATCAAGAGAGAGATGGCTAGACAGCTTTAGGCATTCTTTTGGAGACAGACAAGGAGAGTGTGACTGTTGATTCTCCCAGATCTCTCGGTAGTGTTCAGTTCAATTGACCACTGTATGTTACTAGATGGGCTCTGCAGGGTGGAGGCATGGTGATATGGTGGCTCTATTCCTAACTGCAGGGTTACTTCCGGAAGGTGGCATTGGGTGACTTTTGCTCTGCTCAATGGCAATTAAGCTGTGGAATACCTCAAGCCAGTGGGAGTGGTAATCAGGGGATTCAGAGTGTGGTGCCATCAGTATCTACTTCTAGCCATCTGAATCAAGTGAGCAGGATAAGGGCTAATAAACTGGATCCTGACAAGATACAGGTGTGGGTTTGTGGTTCTCAGCTCCAGGTATCAGGCAGATGACATACTCTAGAAGGGGTTACACTTGGAGGTATTTCTAGGCCCAGCTGTGGACTGGGTGACCTCAGTTGCTTGAAGTGTGTCTAGCCCACTTTGGCTGGTCAGCCAGCTGCAGCCATTCCTGCACAGAAAATCCACAGGAGCCCATCCTCTGGTAGCCTCTTGATCTGATTACTGTGTGATGACCTTGAAGATGACATGAGAACTGCAGCTGGTGTGGATAATAGGGATTATAGGGTTTGTTTTTTGTTTGGTAAACATGTTTTTAATATCAGTTTGAAGTGCACATATATCAGAGAAGCTCATCTGTTTTGTTGGAACTGATGAATTTCTGAATTGAAATCAATGCTAGCATGTGGTTCATTGCATAAGGCTCTGTAACTGAAGAATACATGATGCGAGGAGAAAGGATGCAGAGTTGGTGAGCATGCTGGAAAGGGAAGTTTGCAAGTCCTTCCAACAGTTTGAGACCAACTATTCTGTGTGTGTGTGTGTGTGTGTGTGTGTGTGTGTAAATATGTGGCCACCTATTTTGTGTTTGCACTTTTACAAACTTTATAGGGTCCAGATATTAAAATATATCAACGGTATTAACTTTTATCTTCACTTGTAGTTCAAAGTTCAGCATTTTAGCTACTTGAGAAGTCATTGTGTGCCCTGATTCCAATCTGCCATTTTCTCACCCCCCCCCCTTAAGGTCCAGTTGAAAAGCGATGAATCAAAAACGTTTGCAATGAAGATACTAAAGAAACGCCACATAGTGGACACAAGACAGCAGGAGCACATCCGCTCAGAGAAGCAGATCATGCAAGGGGCTCACTCAGATTTTATTGTGAGGTACTATTGTGGTTTCCCTTGATAAATCCTTACTGGTTGAAGGTTGTATCTCAGCGTTAGAGCATTTGTTTTGCATGCAGAAGGCCCCACCCCATTGTCTCCAAGTAGGGCTTAGAGAGACCTGTCTGAAATCCTGCAGAGCTGATGCCAGGCAGTGTTGGCGATACTGAGCTTGAAGGATCTGACCTACCATAAGGGTGTGTTCCTATGTGTGCAGATGGAAGGTGCTTTTCAACCCCACTTGCAGTGTTTGATTAAACATAGATTATTCCTTATGTGTTCTAAACATTACAGCTGACATTCAAATGGCCTGAGGCATCAAATGCAATGCAGGAATTGTGATGCACAGCTTTGATTTATACCAATACCTTGATAATCCAATCTCAAACCCTTTCAAGGAGACTTCAAAAGCATGGGAGAACATTCAAACAGGGGACGGGAACACTCCTTCCATCCCTTCTTCGCTGGCAGTTTTGACAACCTTAGCAAGAGAGGGAGGAAGGGGTGGAGCAAGCTGTTTATGCATGTGTGCATAGTGTGTGAATTATCTTTTATTCTATCTTTATGTACGATTTATGTGAGAGTTGCAGTGCAGTCTGTATTTGAAGGTAAAACCTAGCGCAATATAAAACTTCCAAAATAACAGATCAAAATACAGGAAAATATATATATGCATTTTATTAGTAAAGATACAAGGCATTTTTCTTCCAAGTGGACTCAACATAAGATTGGGGGGGGGGGAGGAGAGACAAGCATGCTAAGCTTTAAGCCCCATTGCTGTCCCCATCACTTTCAATGAGTTGGAATGTTAACTTCTGCAGCCAGGTGCCTCTCCGCCTGTATAGGTTGCCCTATACAATGTTGCTGGATGCATCTATTGACTAAGTGCAATCATATGCATGTTGACTTAGAAGCGAGCCCCACTGAGTTCAGTGAGTCACATCCAAGCAAATGGGCATAGCATTATAGTTTCAAAGTATCAAAAATATCATCCCTAAACTCTCTGGAGATCAGTACTTCCTTCCTGCCCCCTAGATTATAATAATACATAGATTATATTGATTAAAATGTTCAAATCCTAGTATTAGTATTATTATTCTTAATTAAATTTGTTTAACACCGCCCCCGCCCCCCAATACCTGTAGATCTCAGGGCAGTTCACAACATAAAATTACAGTTTTCTTCTCCCTCTCGAATAGGCTATACAGGACGTTCAAGGACAGCAAATATTTATATATGTTGATGGAAGCTTGTTTAGGTGGAGAGCTTTGGACAATTCTCAGGGACAGGTAAGGGAAACTGCATCATTCCTTTGGATAGGAAATGAAATTCTTCCAGCATACTGAATGGTCACTCTGAATTAAGAATTAGTGAGAAAAAACTACTGATAATAGGGAGAAAGTTAGTAACCAGCTTCATTAACATAATAGCACAACAAAGGGAAGAAGGGTATAATAATTATTTATCAAAAGTTACTTTTCTTTTGTCCTTCAAATAAATTTCAGTAGTAAATTCCTAGCCTTTAGTAAAAAAACCCCAAAAACCACACACACAAACACATTCAAATTGCAAGGTGCTGGGGTTTGTTTATTTACTTCTTTAAAAAAAAACCTTTGAAATGCTTGTAATTCTTTTTCTCTGCTAGTCATGGTATATACTGCCATCTAGCTTTGAAAAGCGTTTATCTTTTGCTTTTCCTCAGACCATCCATTAATATTACTTAGTAACTGAAACATTATGGCATCAAAACAGCATTCACCTCTGGAAATAGAAAAAGTTTCAGTAGATTTAAAGGTAATTTCCTGACCAGTTATAAGGAAGAAATAGAAATTTTAACCTATGATTGAAACTCAGCTTACATTGAAATTCAAGGTAGAAGCTGAATTTATATTAGGGAGGAAATGCTTGGTACAATATTTAAATGGCTCGTAAATGATTGGATTTTTGAAACACTTTCTAAGCTTCAGCCCAGGGTTTAAAGTGCTCTCTTTAAAGTATTTGTGGGGAATGTAAGAGTAGAATAGTTGTTGAAAACAAGTTTGTACCTGCAGACTTTTTTTCTATTAACAGGGGTGGGGGGTATACTGCAAACAGCTTGCTAATAAACAGTTTGGAGTATTATTAAAGAATTTAAGATCTAATATTTCCAGTTCCTGAAATACAATGTTTGACAGCTGACTGTAATATATACCAATTATTTTCGACCTTGCGGTATGCTCGTGAGAATATTGTGGTATCGATACCTTTCTTTGTTCCCACTGGAATACTTTTATTTTTATTTTTAGTGCAGTATGTGAGGAAGATATTTGTGGCTTTTAAAAAATCATAAGCCTTCAACAACTAAGCAAACAAGCAAAGAAATATGATTCCATGATAACCTTACAGCTGTTTCACAGTAGTGTTTTTCTGGCAGCCAGTGGGGCTGCTGCAGTCAAGTCATTAAATATAAGTAATATGCTTTCCTGACACCACAAGTCCTTTAGGTTGTTTTTATATGCATTACATGCTAAAAATGGTTGAACAATGCTTTCTCGGTTTGTAAGGTTTACTGCTGCCAGTGGAGATCAAAGCAATTACTCCACACTTAAAACCCTGTATGTAGTTACAGTACACAAGTCACTTTTCAGCCATGCAAAAGCAAACCTTTCTTATAGTGCAGACCAAAACTAATCTGATGCCTACCTTCATAACGATGGAGCTTCTAGGTTCTTTGCATCCCAGATCAGACATGCTCTGTGGTTCTAACTGGCCAGTCCCTGCTATTTTGATCCTTCCCTACAGGGTAAGGGAAGGATCACCTAGGATTTAGGATCACCTAGGATTTGTCACCTAGGATTTAGGTTTCTAAGGAAGTGGCTTATGAGTGTTTAGGGTGGTTTGTGAGAGATTAGCGATTGGTGAAGCCTTCTCTAGTATGACTTGTAATCAAGCTCAGCAACCAAGCTCAGCAATTTCCCCCTCCTCCATCCAAACAAAACTGGGAGATATCTAGGCTTATTCTGAACCCAATTACTAGTCAGATTATACTGCAGCATCCACTGTGTCATAACGAGGACCATTAACAGGGTCAGATTCATCCTCAAAATCCCCAAGAGGCCCCAGTACCCATTACCTGCTCAACTAGCAGGTATAGAAGGAAATGGATGCCTCTTTGCTCCTTTTCACATCCAAACCCTCCAGCACCTGCAGCACCTATATCAGTAGCACTAGGAGAGCCCTGTCTCACTGTATGTCAGATGGTAGGGGGATATAGCACTGGGCATCAGGAGATGAGCTAAGTTGACTGGTTTAAGTTTATATCAGAGGAGAGAGTCCTTAAAATGGTATGTTTTGCCTCTCTGCTTATTCGTACACTGGAGCTGGTGTTGTGTAATAGCTAAGACATTGAGCTATGAACCAGGGCGCCCTAAGTTCAATTTTAACCTTTGTCATGAGATGATGTCAATTTATATCCTGCCCTTCCTCCTGAAGGGGCCGATGCTGGCAAGTGGCCTTAAGGTAAGTTGCTACTGTATTTCATTATCTGCAACATGGAGATTTAAAAAACCCCACAGATGTGTTTGTTACAGAAACAATGTATATGAAACGTTTTAAATACAAATAGGTTCATGTGCAGCATAAATGTAAAGCACTGTTGATCTCTCAGTCTTTCTCCTCTCACTTCCCACACCCTGTATCCCTGGTTGCAGAGGTTCATTTGAAGATTCTACAACCAGATTTTATACTGCATGTGTGGTAGAAGCTTTTGCCTATCTGCATTCCAAAGGAATCATTTATAGGGACCTCAAGCCAGAAAACCTCATTTTAGATCACCGAGGTTATGCCAAACTGGTGAGTACTCATGATGTTTTTCTTCCAAATAGCAATAAAATATTACATTGAGATGCTCACTGCATTGTAGTTAAGGGTCTGTCTCCTTCGCCATTATAATAAAATGCCTTCTCCAATGGGTTTATAACAGCCATAAAATAGTGCTTCTGGCTGAACAGCAGTACTCAGCTCTGTACTGCCAGGACAAATCAGTTTGTAAAAAGGACTAATGAAAACAAATTAATCTCACTGTTTCCGAATCTTAGACGAGCAGAAGTTGAAGTTCACAGTTGGTTTTAAATAGCCTTTGTGGCATTATGCTTGGAAATTTATTGTTCTTACCACATGATTCCACTACTAGATAAAGAGCTTGACATCTTCCCCAACATTTCATCCAAAGAAACACTGAATCTATAACTGCTCTTATTCAAACCATACCTTTGTTATTTCTGCGAATAGTCCGTTATTTCAATCCCCTAGTTTTTGTGTGCTGTGCTACACTATTATCGATAAAAAAATAATTAGGCCTCAGACATGCCTGACTTATTACATGCTGTTCTTGAAAGAGATCATCATGGCTGCAGATGGGACAATCGTTAAGGCTGATGGGAGTGCCTTTCCTTTTATGATATAAACCATCAGGTGTTCAAGTACAAACCACACAGCATCACAGAGCTGGAGGAGGGGGCTCATTGCCCATCTAATCCAACCCCTGCTTGATGCAAGAAATCCAGAACTAAAGCGTTCCTAACAGATGGTTGCTCAGCCTCTGCTTGAAGACCTCCAGTGAGAGAGAGCTCACTACCCATCTAGGCCATTAGTCCCATTAAGAAGCTTATTCTAATGTTGAGACAAAATCTACTCTCTTGTAACTTAACCCCAATAGAACCATTTTGAAACTAGGGACAGCTGAACCTTTTTAACACTGCTGTACGTTATTTATTTACAGGCAACCCCTGCTTTGCGTGGGGGTTACCTTTTGGGTCATTGTGTGTGTTGGTGGAGTGTGCATAAGCCCGCCCCCACCCCACCCTCTTCCTGATTCGGAAATGGCCCATGCATGCATGGTTGCACACTTTTTGAATGCGAGCAAAACGGGAGTTGCCTGCATATGGTTAGCTCCTACATAAAATAGCCAGTTATGATGGCTGACGGATGGACAGATCAAATTATTGACCATCTGTAAAACTTGAAGTCTTAAACAAGTGTTATGAACTCTTTTATTTTGTTTTTGTACAAATCTTAAGTCTGAAAGATGTTCCTACATACAGTGGTACCTCGCAAGACGAATGCCTCGGAAGACTAAAAACTCGCAAGACGAAAGAGTTTTTCGTTTTTTGAGTTGCTTCGCAAGACGAATTTCCCTATGGGCTTGCTTCGCAAGACGAAAAACGAAAAAAATGAAACGTCTTGCAAGTTTGTTTCCTTATTCTTAAAACCGTTAATACCCAGGGTGACTTCGAGGAGCAACTCATAGCACACGGTGTGGTAGCCTTTTTTGAGGTTTTTGAAGACTTTGGTGATTTTGAAGACTTTGGGAAACCGTGCTTCGCAAGACAAAAAAACTCGCAAGACGAAAAAACTCGCAGAACGAATTAATTTTGTCTTGCGAGGCACCACTGTAGCTTCCTGTACTTCTGCTTTCTGTGACAGCCCTATATGGCAATCAACATTCTCACTCTGAGTATATTCCCATGAAAAATTTCTTTCTGAACTGGTTTATTCTAAGCAAAGCATGAGCATCTCCTCAAGCCTTTGTGTCTGCATAATTGCTCTTTATTTTTTTCTTTCTTGATGGGTGTGTGAACTTTCTTTCACAGGTTGATTTTGGCTTTGCAAAAAAAATAGGATTTGGAAAGAAAACATGGACTTTTTGTGGAACTCCAGAATATGTAGCCCCAGAGATCATCCTGAACAAAGGTCACGACATTTCAGCAGACTACTGGTCACTGGGAATCTTAATGTATGAACTCTTGACTGGCAGGTATGGGCATTGAATTGGAGCTACTGATAAAAATAGATCAGCAAATTAGAGAATATTTCTGCCTTTGTCACTTTGATTAGGAGCACTAGAGATTCAGAGCTTGCATATGCAATGATTATGCACTCCCCCCCCCAAAAAAGGTCTAAAAACTTATTGTTGAGGCTGCTCATTATTATTTTGCCCTGGTTCACAATCAGCATTCTAGCAAATAAAGGGTAAGGGGAAAGGTTGCACAACTGAGGTGCAGAGTTACAAATTTAAATCTTTTGCTTTCCATTCCTTGTTCTTCTGGCAGCCGTTTGTTGTTGTTTTTTGTACAGCAAACATGTGTAAAACAGGTCTGTTTTTACACTTCTAAGAGAGGCAGCATAAGCATCTGTCAGGAATGATTTAACAGTGGGTGGCTAACCTGTGGCCTTCCAGAAGCATGGTCAGGGATTGTGGGAGTTGGAGCCCAACAACATCTGGCCCAATAAACATCTTAGCCTTTAAAGCAGGCATCCACAAACTCGGCCCTCCAGCTATTTTGGGACTACAACTCCCATCATCCCAAACCAATGGTCCTGTTAGCTAGGGATGATGGAAGTTGTAGTCCCAAAACATCTGGAGGGCCAAGTTTCGGGATGCCAGCTTCAAAAGGACAATGGATTCCTGTAAAGCACTTTGAATGCTAAGATGTGGTACTGAAACCATTTCTAATAACAATAGCACACCTTGTGTAATTTCCAGATATTGTAACTTCAGAATACTATGTACCGTATTTTTCGCCCTATAGGACGCACCGTCCCATAAGGCGCACCTAGTTTTTTGGGGGGGAAATAAAGGGGGAAAATTTTTATTTCCCCCTCAGGCACGGGGCTGGGGCGGGGGAAGCCTGAGCTTCCCCCGACCCCAGCCCCCAGAACAGGCAACTTTCTGCAAGCCGCGGGAGCCCAGCACAGGCTCCCACGGCTTGCGGAGATCTGCGCGAAGTCTGGAGAGCGAGAGGGGTCGGTGCGCACTGACCCCTCTCACTCTCCAGGCTTCAGCGAATGCCTGCATTCGCCCCATAGGACGCACACACATTTCCCCTTCATTTTTGGAGGGGAAAAAGTGCGTCCTATTGGGCGAAAAATACGGTAATTTGGTAAGCAGACAAATAATCACTTGTTGTCTAGAAATAACAGAATAGTCACAAAAAGTTATTCTGTTTTAACTCACGCAGGACAAAACAATTTCATGATGCTATGGTCTAGGTCCTCATTATTTTAGCATTAGCAAGCTACAATTCACAAAACATGCTGGGAAAATATTGTCCTCCAAAATATGTTTTGGCCATGGTTAGTGGCATTTTTTTTAAGAACACCAAAGGCTATTATTCAGCTAAACTGTTGTGCTAGTGGAATGTAAAAATTAAAGGAAACATTACTGTGTAAGACAATATTTCACTTAGTTGGGGAGTCATTAAGGCACCCTATCCTTTCCTTTTTGTATCCATGAACTTTAAGCACATAGGAATTCTGACCCAACCCCTTTTCTATCTCTCCTCTACAGGAGAGTTTTCAGAATTATTGTGTGATAAAATCAGGGTCAAATATATGCATTTTAAAGTACCTTTGACTGTTCCTAGAATGATGCACTTCTTCAGACCATAATTCTCAGATTTCCCCAACATGATGCCTATATTGGTTTAATAAATCCATGTAGAACTGGAAAAGTATTCTCACGTTGCATAAAGCAAGATTTTCAAGTGAAATCTCATCCCATATATATAGCATGCAAAATTTTATGAATACAACATTATTGTAGTACCTGCTCTTGTAAAAAGGCACAATTATTTGCCAGGTATATAGAAATAGGTTCATCACTTTATAGATTTACAACTCAGAAGGAATGATGACAAGAGCTGTATTACCTTACACCAAAGAAACACAAAAATTCTGCATTCTGTCATAGTTTAAATAAATAGGCATATTGCATTAAAATGTGTGTTTCCCTGTGTTTAAAGTTGCAAAACTTAATATGTATTTGCTGCTGGTAACATGGGTATTGCTGGTTTTAAGGGCCTACACATCATTCTTTCCCAACCTGATGCCCTCCAGAAGTTTTGGACTACAGCTTCCATAAATCCCAGCCATTGAGTAGTAGTCTAAAACAACTGCAGGCAGGGCACCACAATGGGGAAAGCTCCCGTAGATGGTACAGCATCTAGTAACAGCACTAAAATCAGCTTGAACGTAACTGCTATATAATGAAAGCTCTTTCAGGAGTTTAACACATTTTTATTGCCTTATCTTACAACATTTGACGACATATTAAAACAGATTTTTTAACTTTGGGTTTTTCTTTTCTTTTCTTTAGTCCACCATTCTCAGGCCCAGACCCCATGAAAACTTATAACATCATACTAAGGGGGATTGACATGATTGAATTTCCAAAGAAGATTGCCAAAAATGCTGCTAACCTTACTAAAAAACTATGCAGGTAAACACTTTGTAGATTGCATTAGTAGTTTTGTCAAGAAGGGAATGTGAATTAGCACCACAAGTTCTTGCTATTTTGATGCTGGTTGTATTCTATAGAATTTTTGTGCATGTTTTGGTATTCAGGTTGGTCCTGATGTACTTCTGAATAGATGATGATGTTGTTATCAGTTCTTTTACCTGCCCTTCACCAGCAGGTCCCAGGGTGGATTGCAACAACCTAATGTTCCAAATTAAAGGCAGTTATAAACCATACTACATTCACAATAATAGGGTGGGTCTTGAAAACATATCTCAGGTGCCAAAGGCCTGGGTGTAAAATAGACATGGTTGAGATTATAGCCTTAGAGTCATACTTGGAGTAGACAGTCCACTGTTTTGATTGTTAGCTCCCTTGCATGCTATTGAGAACAACAGTGGGATAGAGAATGTTTAAATAAATAAAGGATAGCAGAGAATGGAATTACCTCCCAGCTTTTTCATTCTACTCTGTTGTGTGCTGGGGTGTTATGTTTTCTTTTTCTTACAGGGACAACCCATCAGAAAGACTAGGGAACTTAAAAAACGGTGTCAAGGATATTCAAAAGCACAAGTACGTATGTTTCAGATGCTGAAAAGTTATTACCATCAGTTCACAGGACATTTTCCAGATGGTATAAGAAGCAACAGTCCTGTCCCAGTACTCAACAGAGGGAGAAAATTCTGACAGAAGCAAGGGCAACAGGAGAAGTATATACGCAGTGTTTAGGCTTTCTTTTAGTCTGAAGCTTGAAACAAGTTCATTGCTTATTATGAGGCATCTGTTTTGAATTTAAACCACCTCTAGGCTTTTGGGGTACAACCAATATTTCTTTGTGCAGTCCCTATTCCCACTGATGGGAATTCAATGGACTTTATAGCTCCTAAAACTGGGTGCCATTGGCTCTGTGAGCAATTTCCATTGAAACAAATGCATGGAACGTTGGTTTTGGTGGTTTTTAATTGACAATATCTTTAAAGAACATAATTTATATATATTTTTTAAATACCAATGCAGGAATAGTTCCCACTCAACATATATTGAGGTGCCAAACATCATGCTTTCTGTATATATATAAGTCCCATTTTGTTTGACATTTACCATTTATAGAGAAATGCCATTCTTGTTCCTATAGTGCTATATGCAGTGTGACTTTTCACTAGCATAAGTGGTTGTGGGTGGTGCATAATGAGGCACTCCGTTTTCACCACTCCCCCTACCAACTGCCACCCTCTATGGCATACCCCATACAGTTGTAGACAGTTCCCCCAACCCTCAGGAGACTTAAGGGGGCTGCAAATCCTGCTCCTTACCTTATATTATCATTTCCCTGTTTTTAGGTGGTTTGAAGGCTTTAACTGGGAAGGTTTAAGAAAAGGTACATTGACACCTCCTATAATACCAAGTGTGAGTATACCATTTATTCTGTTATTCGTTCATACATGCTAGATTGGAACAGAGAATGAAGAAAAATTTTTGAGACACTCTGCTACAACAGCAGCCAGCTTTGGTTGAAAGCCCTGTGGGCCTCCAGCTATACTGGAGCTTATCTATATAAGCATGTTTCTCACCGACACTGTTGTCCGGGGCATGCATTAAGAGTGCAGAGTTTTCCCTGATGTTGATGCATCAGAGTTTGTGCACATATGTAGAGATTGAGTCCTGGACTGAGATGTATTTCCAGAGACATTTTGTTTTCTTTTTATTGTAGTAAAGCTGCTTGTTCTTCTTTCCTAGCCAGTTTGCTTTAGGTCTCTTGTGCTTCGCCTTTACTCCTTCCTCCTGTCTCTCCAACATGCCCTTTATTTCCTTGCCAAGTTCCTGCGATTCTATACCAGTGCTAAAGGCTATGCTTTTGCTGTCAGGCATATATCTACCACCTGCAACTGCTGTACTAACTCCATGATAGTCCAAATGATAAATCAGGGACTAAGCAAAGTCAAAGCTGATGGCACACCCCTCCCCTGCCAAAAAAAGTACAGTAATGCAAAATAGTTTGCTTTTTGGTACCTCTTCTTTGTTGTAATCACTTCCCTTCCATCAGTCATACAAAAGATTCCTCCAAACACAGTAGTTTATAAGTGACTGAACAGAAACACAGCTGTTTCTGTATCAGAGCTCCAAACTTCATGGACGTACCTCCAGGTTTCAGTACTGTCGCAGCAGGGAATGAAGCAATGGGAGGAAGCTTTCTGTAGTCACTATATACTTGCAAACATTCACCTTTTAAGCCCACAGACCTTTCCAAAAGGAGGAATGGTGAAAGCTCTGGTTGTTTTAAGGTTTTTCTTTGGATACAATCTAATTTTATATATTTTAATTTAGATAACAAATATTCTCAGATCCTCAGCAACCCTTTCCCCATATTATATAGCTAAGCAATGTATATCCTGAAAGCATGAGCTTCATGACTTAACCAAATTGTGTTTTTCCAATGTTTGAATGAAAGTGAATTTTTGATTTTGATTCATACAGTGAACTATACTTTAAAATTTCACTTTTCTGGTTTTAAGAATTCACTGTGAAAACTGAAGCTTCCCCCATCTGCAACTCATGTGATATACTGAAAAACAATCCATCAATTTTGAAAATCCCTAAAACAAATAGTAAATTATAAATTATAGCGGCAAATTATGAATGAATTTATCTCTTTTAAATGTACAAAACCTTGAAATTTATTTAGGAGTCATGAAGCTTAGTTTTCTGAAAATAGTGGGTTCCCCTCTATCTTTAGGTACCGACTGTTACCTTCTCCCCACTTACCCAAGCAGTCAGAAGTTCCAGGGGCAGCGCTTCCGAGTTTAGTTTCCTTTGGATGAGCGAGCACTGGAGACTTAAGGTGTCTTTGTACTATTTGCTTTATTTCCAAATATCCAAGCAGAACCTAAGTGGAGACAAACAGGCAGTCTTGAAACCTAGAAATTCCATTATGTTGTATGGATCCCTAGAGAGAGAGAGCTCCTCCATCACCCCAAGATGCTTTGCCTTCAGCCAACTCAAAACTCTCTTTCCTTCTCTCCATGTTTCCAAATTTAACACTGTCACCTGTTGTTTCTTTTCAAAATATACTTATATGGATAAAAAAAATTTCCTTCACCACCAACTTCTGCTGTGGTCCAGGGCTTTCCCCCACCCTTGACCCTATAGAAAAAGGAATAATGGGAAATATAAAGGATGCATAGCTAGCTTTATGAATTTGTAAGCTTTATAACTAGTTTTTAACACACAAATGTGTGGTCTCCTGGAGAGGAGCTAAGTCAAGGCTTGGCTTCCCAAGTTGTCCAAACTGGGATTTGTGGTTTAGCAGGCTCCTCACTAATTTTGAGCTGTAATCAAGAACAAACCTTGGCTGCAGCATTCATGGAGTCATAGTCTGGCTTACTGTGTCATGCAAACTAGCCCACTGTATCACTGGCTTTCATGTTTATAATACAAACATATATTTTTGTATCTGTGGTGCTCTATGCTTAACCATTGCTATTTGGGCCCAACCGTTTCTAATTACTTCTGTTCTACTAGCGTTGTGCTTATTCTGGCCATTGTCCTGGTTCTTGTTTTTCTACTGCAACAGCCATTTGTATACAATTCAATAAACAAATCAATTCTTTTCAAGATTTAGTTAAACAAAGCATGTACTATTTTTATCTGTACCTTCTAGAATTTGTATGATTATTGCTACATTTGTGCCCCACCTTTCCTCCAAGGACCTCAAGGTGGTGGCCATGGTTCTCCCCCTCTCCACTTCATTCTCAGAACAAACCTGTGAGGTAGGTTAGGTAGGTGAGTGGCCCAAGGTCACCCAGTAAGTTTCATGGCTTAGAAGGTTTTACAAAGTCTCCCTTTGTACCCTGACCCACTCTGAACATTTCTCTCATGTCATTTTATGCCTTTTCCAAACTGCTGAATGCTCCTGAACTGCTGTTTCTCATGCAAAATATTCCAAGACAGTGACAGAGCATTCATTGTGGGCGCCCAATGGAGCTAAACAGGGCTGTGCTGTGCTGTGCCACCTTCCCAACTGCACAGTGGGAAGCCCTGTCCTGCTTCAAGGGCTCACTCATGTCACCTCTGCAAAACCCAGCACTGCTTTGCAAGACTTACAAAAGTGGTGCAAGTCAGGCAAGGTGCATGCCTGTTGCATTCTTTTCTAGCCCCCCTCCAGTTTGAGAGCAGCTGAGAAGGACACAACAAGGCAGGGTGCAAAATAGCGCTAGGCTTGCAGGCACTGTGAACTCTTGTGTCCTTCTCATGGCACCCTCCAGCTATGGGGGCACCGTGAAAAGGACACAACACGCACTGTCAGGCCCATGGGCTGGCAGGGCATCATAATAAATGTGCCCCCCAAAAAACTGTGCCCATGGCCCCAGCCCCCCCAATGCCTCTGTTCCAAGCATTCATCACAGATCCCATTGCTGCAGATAAATTTCTCATCCAAGTGACCATCAACAGCCAGTAAAAAAACATTTACATTAGTCAGATCGCAAACTATATAACCAGAAATGCAAAACCCATGACATGCTTGTTCAGAAAATTTAAACAAACAAAACATCTCATGGCAGTACTGTAAATGGAAACTCTAGTATCTGAATTATTGTGCTTTCCAAAGCTGTTCTTTGGAATTCTCACTGGCAAGCATGAAGCTATAGTTTTGAAATCGGAAAACTGTCTAATGATTCCAAACAGCTTGGGCATAAATCATCATCATCAACAGTACAAAGTCTGTTTTTCTCCCCACTGGACAGGTTGCATCTCCAACAGATACAAGCAATTTTGATAGCTTCCCTGAGGACAACGATGAACCACCACCTGATGACAACTCAGGATGGGACATAGACTTTTAATGTATTTCTCTTACCTGCTTCTGCCTTGCTGAAGACAGCTTCCTGAGACATGGCTGCCAGCAGACCTGAAGGAATTGGGAAGGATTAGTGCTCGGGGTCACCATGATGCCTTGATTGATGCTGCTACAGTAACACTACAGTGGCATTAGGACTTCTTGCTTAGATGACAATAGTGCTCTTCACATGTTTTCTGTTTGAACTTAACATAGCAGTTGACATGGTGGTCCTGAAGCAAAGCCTTTTTCACCAGTAATTAAATGTGTTTTCTATCACTGTAATGAACTCGCTCCAGTCGTAATTTGAAAGTTGATAGAATAAGATGCACATAATTCTAGCTGCAATATCATTGTATTGCTAATTCTGTTCTGAAATGTTAAGTACTGTAGAATCTACAGTGTGGGATCTGGGGTACTCCCAAAAAAGCAAAAGGAGTGTGTTGGGCCTCTTAAAGCGGGCCAACGTATTAAACCAATGAGGACCACAAAGCTATTGGTCTTGGAGTTCATGTCAAAGCAGTGCTATATAGGTTGTCTTTCTTTTCGAGCAGTATTCATGACAAGAATGAATGTTACCCTTTTCCATATTTAATTTCTGATGTGCTTTTCCCCTCCCAAACTGATAACAAAAGCACAACTGCTACAGTTTTTATTGAACTGTTAAAGCAAGTATGGGTCGGTCGGTTCTCACACGTATCTGAGAACATGGTATATCTAACATTTAATTCTGTTGGTACAGCTACATAAGAGCATGTAGAAGATTATTCATAAAACTACTCATTTTACATATTATATATATATATATAATAACTATATTATAAACAAAGACAAATGTGCTTATCAAAAGGTCCTAGAAAGCAAATGATAGCAGCCAACTGGTCCAATAGGAATTTACACTGAACTTAAAATAACATTTACCTTTTAGAGCCCAAGGAGGGAAAATGCAAGACTCACTGCATACTATATAGGTGCTATGTACATTTTTTAATCCATGAAATAACCAAACATCCACAATCATTTTTCAGGAAAATATGTAGCAAGGAATGTGATTGTCAACTAAAATCTCAAAATAATTAGTCACACACACACGTTTTTGCTGCTCCTTCATATAGCATTGCCATCCTTAGTCCTACTGTTTTCTAGCTGTATTTTGATTATGTATTGCAAACATTAAATAATTCAGCTCTCCTCATGAAACGTAATACAACCACAAGTTATATCAATCAGTCTAAAAAGCATGGAGCTGAAATGTGTGCAGCTGAAATGGGCCACTTCAAAATCCCATTCATTTCAAAGGGAGAGTTGAGTGCATACGGAAATTAATGAGAGTTTAAAATGTTCCAGTTTGGGTGAATCATACTTACTAGGCTTGAGCCTTCTAACATATATGTGTCACTCTTTTGACAGTAATAGATTATAAAAATGTAGAATAATGATAGCAATCTCGGTGAAGACATCTACCAGGAAACATGTACTTCCAATATACTTGCACCTTTAGATGAAGTAATCTCACTGCTAATGCAGCCTTACGTATACAACAGAGTTTTTATTAGTTCAATAAAAAACAACCCCTACAACCCACTTTTAAGATGCCATCACATAATATGAAATGCCACTGAAGATAAACACATCTATCTCCTTGTTCATTTCCGTCAAAGTAACACCACTGCAGTCTCACAATAACCTGAATCCAAAAAAGCAATTTTCATCTCCAGTTTTGCTCTTTATGAGTTAACTTAACCCTCTCTCTTTTTTTTAATCCGTGTTTCTCCTAGCTTCCATCTTTCTTGTACTTACACCTCCCTCCTCCTTGATTTGCCTTTTCCAATATTTCACTTCCTTTGGGATTACAGTGGTACCTCACAAGACGAATGCCTCGCAAGACAAAAAACTCGCTAGACGAAAGGGTTTTTTGAGCTGCTTCACAAAACGATTTTCCCTATGGGCTTGCTTCGCAAGACGGAAACGTCTTGCAAGTTTGTTTCCTTTTTCTTAACACCGTTAATACAGTTGCGACTTGACTTCGAGGAGCAACTCATAGAACGCGGTGTGGTAGCCTTTTTTGAGGTTTTTAAAGACTTTGATATTTTTGAAGCTTTTCCAAAACTTTCCCGACACCGTGCTCCGCAAGACGAAAAAAATCGCAAGACGACAAAACTCGCGAAACGAATTTATTTCGTCTTGCAAGGCACCACTGTAAAAGGGCTTAAGTTCAGGCAAAACTAACTTATTTAACTTACTATAAAATCTTGACTTATTCATTGATTCCAGATGGGACTTAAGTTCAACTAACTCACAGGATGATCCAGTGCATGCTTTACTCAGAAGTAAATCCCACTGTTTTCATGCAAAGAAAAGAATGCATAGGATAGCGGCCTCAGTGTAGATCCAACCCAATTTGTTTAATGTAAATTTTCAAACCCTCCCTAGGTTATATGCATTCAAAGCCGTTAGTTATAACTTGCAACAGCACTGTCTGTTAAATGTATGCCCCTGCAATTTTTTAAGAATTATATGATTTAGGAAACAAAGCAGAATTGTGCTTTCAGTTTGCAATGTTTAGATACAATGCAGTTTTTTTTACAAACTCAATATAAACTGCGAAATAGCCCTCAAAATCTTCGTTTCTTAAAAATTAGCAGCTGCTCTATCAGTCGTTTCAGTTTCCCAAGGCTGCCAGGCTCCTGGTCTTATACATTAGAAGAGAGCATGTGGGTTTAAGGAGTGAAAAAGAGATACCATGGCCTTCCTTATATACTTGCACATTTGACATTAGCATAACTCTTTCAGGAGTCATTCCTGTTTGACACTGGTATACATTACAGCAAACTTGTAATCCTATTTCCACCTCATTACTGGTGGAAATAACCAAGATATTTAAGCCCTTTTTAGGGGCAGGAATGCCTTCCCACTATTTGTTGTGGCATCCACCTGATTGTGATAAAACAACCATGAGCATTAGTGGTCAGGAACAACATAACCTTAAGAAACATAATCTTAAGAAAGCGCACTCTTCTTCCAGTACATAGGAATATTTGTGGGAACACTAGGATCCAACCACAAAGCAAACACAGCAGCACCATTTGCAGTCTACTTCAGAGCTTCCAAAACTTACACCACTATAACATGACAAGTCTTCCCCTACACTGATGCATTTGAACACTCTTCCTCACACAGCTTCTTATGAGCTGCTTAGAGTTGTTCTGGCCAAACCCAGCATCAGCAAGGACTATGAAGCCTTTTTGGCTAGTGAGGTGCAGCTAGATAGAGATATCACCATTTCCTAAGTACTGTACTGGATTGTGCTGAAGCTGAAGGGGCATGCTATTTGTTTGCTTACTACAATTTATCAAACGAGACATAAAAATATATTAAAATATTGCAATTAAAATATGGGTAAGTAAAGCAGAAGGAAGTGAAGTAAAAACAAAAATAAAGTGCTACTTTATTTAATCCTATAAAATCAGTCTACAGGAGGTACTTTATTGTATACCAGGAATTATTACAGAATCTGCATATGGTAGCTGTAATCACAGACCTTCCAGCATGCAAAAGCTAGTTAACCATTGTGGCAATAATCCCAGATAGTGTTGGATGGACCCATAATCTTTCCAGGGGTTGGCAAACTTTTTCAGCAGAGGGCCAGTCCACTGTCCCTCAGACCTTGTCGGGGGCCGGACTGTATTTTTTTTGGGGGGGGGGGAATGAACAAATTCCTATGCCCCACAAATAACCCAGAGATGCATTTTAAATGAAAGGACACATTCTACTCATGTAAAAACACACTGATTCCCAGATTCTCCGCGGGCTGGATTTAGAAGGTGATTGGGCCTTAGTTTGCCTACCCATGATCTTTTCTGTCCAAATCTGGACAGATTTTTTAAATGAGTAAAAAAATTGGGGGTCAGGCTTTTTCTTTGTAAAATTAACCACATTTACCTTGATTTTACCCTTTGTCAAAATCATTAAACAGGGTTCTCTTTGCTTGCAAGTGCATGAAATCAAATATGCCACTTCAGAGCTATCCTACAATTTAATCCAACAATTCTTCACATTCATGTAGCTATCAACAACTTGAACACAGGTTTTCTAAACAGATATACATCATTCTCCAATAAGTAAATATATCAACAGTTTTCTGGAAGAACATAATTTCATGTCACTCAGGCTTCTAAAACTAATAGTCAGCCTCCTCCTTTTTAAAGTATAAACCAATAAAAGACAGCAAAAAGCTTTACATCATCATTTATCATTTCTGCTGCTCATTAAACCAGTATAGCACAGCATTTGCTACATCTGCCAATTACTTTTATACACCATCCAACACATATGCAATTCTCAACTTAAGCATTTGAACACTATCCGAAGCATTTCCTGACATTTTATACGATAGGGCTAGAACATGACTAGTCATCTTGGTCATAAGTCACCTTGTTTCTACATTGCAGGTGGACTCACTTCTAAAAAGCACTCCCAGAACTCCAGCTTAATTCATACTCCTACACTGAGTGAACTTAAATGCAAAACTTGTTCTTTTTGATTAATTGACTTTTCCTGGTTATAAACATGAGAACATGCTATTTCCACTCTAAATAGCTCAAATGACAATGTGTTAAACTAAAAGCATTCAGCTGAAGAGTAGTCACACACAAATTTAGTAATAATTATGCAAGGAAAGTTTCAAAGGGAGCTTGGTATGAATTATTAGGCTTGATTCCTTCCGTTTGTCCTTGAGCCGCATTCAATAGTATATAATTGGTGCGGTGTGCACTTAATACAGATTTATTTTTTCATATGACTCACTGGCATCTTCTTCACCAAATGTATTTTAAATATCTTAAGCTAGCGTGTGTGTATTAATAAACCCTGCATTTATAAGTAATACATTTTATTCACACATATATATACAAAAGCATATACACACACATTCACATTCCAGTGTACTGCAACTTACAACTAGTGCACATGCTACTCTTTCCATGCAGATCCCACAGAAGAATGGAATCCATCCCCTGGTGAGTTTTCTGTGCCTGGCTAGGACATGAAGCAGGGCCATACTATTACAGAAGTCCCTAGCTCCAACACATATCATTAGTAGCTGCAGGCCAGAGTGGAAAAACCACACAATTTGAGGGTGAGGGCGGTGGGGGGTGGAAATAAGTCAACTACATCCTATTCAGAGTAGAAATCAGTGAAGCTAAGTTGGTCATGACCATTAATTTCAATGGGTCAACTCCCAAGTTGACTGAATATCACCCAATGACCCAAGTCCAAATCACATGGCTGAGAATGAAAGCTTGCCAGCAGTTCTGCTTGGAAATTTTGTATGCAGACTACTTATTACTTATGGCTGCAGTCCTCAGATCAATTTGCTCATGAGTAAGGTCCATTCATTTTGGTAGAGTTTACTCCCTATAAATGTGCTTGGGATCTCTGCTTCCCTTTAACATATGAAATGATGGTGTATCTGCATAAAAAAGAAATTTGCTGTCATAATGGAGACACATTTGCTAGAACTGGGTTCTAAAGGTACAGGTAAGCTTTAGCTTATTATTACAGTGCTGCATCATTCACAGAAAATTCTTATTTAATAATAGGACCACAAGCAAATATTTATGTAAATAGATATTTTTTTCGTGTTGATATTTTGTGGTACACATATAGCTTTTTATTTAGAACTTCATTGCATTATTCTTTCATTTTCTTATTTGTAAGGTAATGTTTTTAGATCAAAGTAGACTTGAATTAATGTCATAATTGTCAGTATTACTGAAACTTATGTCAACTGTACCGTTGTCCATCTGTCCCATAGTTTTTAGATCATCATCTAGTTATTTGGCATTGTTGCAAGTGCCTTAAAATTCATGGCATCCTATTTAAAAAAAATACAAATTTGGTGTTATGCTGCATGACAAAGACAAACACACCTCAAAATGTTGTCCTTTCTTAGCTTGCTGCGTTTTACAGTTCTTTCGGCTAACAGTTTATAAGCCTTTATTATATAATATTGATGAATTACAGAAATGATGAAGTTGTTCTCTTATTTCTGTTATAAATGTACCAGAGCTGTGTATCTGTTAATGAGATACAGCGTCATTTCTGTGAAATGTATAAATGTATGTGCAGGTCAAATTAATATATGACATACTATCAGTCTGTATACAGGTATTCCTGTTTTGCTAAGCTGTGCAAATTTTAAAACTGTAGTGCAGTAAAAGTTCTAACATATCACATTTTATAATAGGCTCCATTGCAAAAATATTCCGATCAGACCAATGATTAGCAAACTGACTGTCAAATTTACACCAAACAAAAAAAAACATATTCTTTCCATTGTGAAACCAATGACTGCAGAAGGAGTGAATCTTGTTGCACCACTGAACAAAACAGGACCAGTGCTTTCTATGAGTTTCCTTGTATATGCAAATGTTTCTGAGACAAACTCTCAGTAGTACACCTAGAAAGCTAAACACTGAAAGTGTGTTATTTGTCCTCTTCCTCTGTGAACAGTCCACTCCATAAACAGACCACAGCACTGAGACATTGATGTTTCAGGCTTTAATAGCAAAGGGAAATTGATTCAGCGTTGCCTACTACCGTACTTATTCCAATGTATGCTGTTTTTACACTGGTGGCTTCCTTTATAATCTTAATGGCTATTTTTCCTTTGGTTTTCTTCTTACTGAGGATTCTACATGAAAGAGGAGGATTTAGTTTTGTTTGTCCAAGAATACACTTTCATCAAATGGTCTTTGACCAGTTGCACTCTTTTGATGTAGACTAAAACGAAAACAAAAACTTTTTATCATAAACTTAACTGCTTTTGTTTTGCTCTGTATTTTCCCTGCAGCTGTAATTGCCGAGTGCCTGTTGTATACTTTATAGAGTTGAAATAAAAAAAATTACTTTTGAATATTTTTGCCTTGTTCATATTTCTACCTTCTGATGTGTTTCGAATTGCATTTTAAACAGTTGTTAAGCTGTCAACTATTTCAACACTGAATACTAGCTGAAGGAAAGACAGCATACAGCACGGGTCAACAAACTTTTTTAGCAGGGGGCCGGTCCACTGTCCCTCAGACCTTGTGGGGGGCCGGACTATATTTTGGGGGGAAAATGAACGACTTCCTATGCCCCACAAATAACCCAGAGATGCATTTTAAATAAAAGGACACATTCTACTCATGTAAAAACACGCTGATTTCCAGTCCGTGGGCCGCATTTAGAAGGCGATTGGGCCAGATCCGGCCCCCGGGCCTTAGTTTGCCTACCCATAGCATACAGTATTGTCCTGCGCTCAGTACTTTCACAACTTTGTGGAATCATATCCCTTACTCCTCATTTCAGGGTAAAGAAGTTACAGTGGTGCCTCGCAAGACGAAATTAATCCGTTCCGCGAGAGTCTTCGTCTAGCGGTTTTTTCGTCTTGCGAGCAAGCCCATTGACGGATTAGCGCTATTAGCGCTATTAGCGGTTTAGCGGCTATTAAAGGCTTAAAGGCTTAGGGGATTAGCTGCTAAAAGGCTATTAAAGGCTATTAAAGGCTTAGCAGATTAGATAAAGGGGGAAAGCGGAAAAAAAAATCTCAAGACTCGCAAGGTATTTTCGCCTTGCGAAGCAAGCCCATAGGGGAATTCGTCCTGCGAAGCAACTTCAAAACGGAAAACCCTTTCGTCTAGCGGTTTTTCCGTCTTGCGAGGCATTCGTCTTGCGGGGCACCACTGTACTCCTGAAATTAATACACACACAAATTCACACACCCACAGCCCTGTGTGGGTATGAAACCACGTAAAACCTATTGACAGGCAACTGCTTTTGCAAGGCGGTAGGGAGCCTACCCTAAAATATTTGTAAAAAAAAGGGGGGACGCGGATGGCGCTGTGGGTAAAACCTCAGCGCCTAGGACTTGCCGATCGCATGGTCGGCGGTTTGAATCCCCGCGGCGGGGTGCGCTCCCGTCGTTCGGTCCCAGCGCCTGCCAACCTAGCAGTTCGAAAGCACCCCCGGGTGCAAGTAGATAAATAGGGACCGCTTACCAGCAAGAAAGTAAACGGCGTTCCGTGTGCTGCGCTGGCTCGCCAGATGCAGCTTGTTACGCTGGCCACGTGACCCAGAAGTGTCTGCGGACAGCGCTGGCTCCCGGCCTATAGACTGAAATGAGCGCACAACCCTAGAGTCTGTCAAGACTGGCCCGTATGGGCAGGGGTACCTTTACCTTTTTTTAGGGAGCCTAATGATATAGCCCATGCCTCTCTGCACACACCCTGACTTAACTCCCACTTAACTCATACCCTCCAACATTTCTCCAACGAAGATATGGATGTCCTGTTTAATAAATAAATAAATAAAATTTAAACATTTAAAAACTTCCCTATACAGGGCTGCCTTTGGATGTCTTCTAAAGGTTGTATAGTTACTTATCTCATTGGCTTGTGAGTTGCATAACTTTTTCCTCTCCAACATTTCTCTGATGAAAATAGGGACGTCCTAAGGAAAAACAGGATATTCTGGGTTCAGATCAGAAACCAAGACAGTTTCTGTAAATCCAGGACTGGAATCCCTGGAAAATAGGGACACTTGGAGAGTCTGTTAACTTCTGTTGCTGCCTCTCTACTACTGTCTTATTTAATAATTAATTGGCTCTGTTTAATCAATAAAGCAGATTACATACACCTATTTTGGAATTGTTCTCAAATAGAAATATTCCAGAAATCCGTTCAGGCTAATATCTCTGATATTTACCTCTGGAACTTAAATGATTTCTGCTTGGTTATCTCAAAGACATTACTTATTACCAAAGAAAACGTGCAAGCCAGCCTAAGAGGTTTATGGGGAATGGATATGTTTTACAATATTTTGGATCAAAAAATTCATTTATAATGTCCGACTTTATGCTGCTTTCAACCTGCTGTAACTTCTTTTTGCTCTTTATCTTTGATTTACTTTATTAATAAAATAAAAATTAAGTAGACATGAAATCTATAAAGAAGCATTAGTGTTATGAATACTACACAGCTATTGGACAGTTGTTTATATAGTCTTGAGTAAAATATAGAAAAACCAGGGTCTTTTAAGTAAATATTTTAAAGTATTTTTAAATACTTTAAAAATGTAAAACCATGACAGCCACACTAGTCAATAGATTAAATTAACAAATATTTTTATAAAAAATTAACATTAGAAGAATTGTCTGGTGCTGAAATGAAAATAAAGATGGTGCCAATTGATAAGTTGGTTCAGGGAACAGAGTTCCACATCAGAAAAGATCCCACATCCCAACTTACTTCAGATAGTGTTGGGACCTGGAGCAGAGCCTCAGAGGCTGCTCTTAGCCCGAGGGTACATTTATACAGAAATAGACAGTCCCTTTTATATCAGTCATAGTTATATAAGCGATTAATAAACAGAATGCAGCACCAACAGGATAATATAAAACTTTAAAGTGATGGGTGGGGTGGAAAGGGGCAGTCCACCAAAAAAGTCAGAGCATTTTAAGGACAGGTTAAAAAGAAATATCAGCATGCTACCTGCACTTATATTGGTGTGCTCCAATCTCAAACCATTCTAGAAACGGTGAGAATACCCATTTCTTTTGTCTTCCAAAAAAAAGCAAATCCCTTACATGACAAAGAGCGTTGCAGTTTGCAATATTGAAAAGGTTTTCTATCTCCACACACTTACTGGCCTTACCTAAATTCCTTGCAAGACCTGACAATATCCTACCCACAACAATGCTGCCTGTGGGTGGTCAGTTATTACACAGCTGTAATTAAAGGATTGTATTTTATGAAATAAACACCCAGCTTTTAAGGGAAATTAACATTTATAATCTGTACTGCTTTGATGAAGTGAGTACTGGTGCAATCTTGAGGGGGATTTTTTTATTGCTTGCCTCTTTCTGCCTTCAAAACCATTTTCATGCTGATGATAAGTTTAATGATATTTTTATCTATCCTCAGTGAAGGAAATCAGTAAAATGAATTGCCTGTGCTCTCTGGGAATATTGAGAAACTGTTCAAAGGAATCGGAATGAATTAAGCAACATGACTCAGTGCAGGGGAAATTAAGACCTGATGGAACCCCCCTAGCGATGAATGCATTTGTCTCAGTGCCACTGCGATACACCATTCTCTTCTTATAGATTAGGCAGCAACTGCATCCTTTCACAACGTCAGGAGGGGACATATAATCTGGTAACGCTATCTTATGCAACTCATCAGGAATTCTGTAATTGGCACATAGAAGAACAGTGTGAAAATCTATTGATTTCCTGGGTTTAGGCAACATGCCGAACTCTGTACAGAATGCCTGCAATCCTATACACACTTACCAAGCAGTAAGACCAACTGAGCTCCATGGAAACTACCTCATGCATTGGATGAGGCTGCAAGCAAACCTATTTACTGCATGCTTCCCTAAATAACAAATTTCAGTGACTCCAAATAAATGCTTGTTCCTCAAAACATATGTATGGTAGGTTTTCTTTGCTTTTCCTAAAAATAAACTCTGTGGACTCCAAGGAACCACATCACACCACCACTTGAGCCTGGGAGCAACACTGGTTTTCAGTCACCCGTGCAACGTTCAAATAGTGTTGAATTCTATATGGATTAGCTCCTTACAGAAGACTGCATTGCCATGCACTACATCATCTCATCATAAAGTGATCTAACATCAGCACAGGATTAAAAAGCATGGTTTCCATAGACTTGAGGAATCATATAACCCAATTTTGACCGGTGTTTTTGGTATTAAATCCCAGTTGCTCTGTCACTTTTCATTTTATCAGAAGAATTTTCACAGCTTGGCGGCATTTTCAAGAGACACAAAACCAGGATGGGGCTTTAGTAACTGATTTATAAGCATCCCCTGCTGTCCTTATAAAGTGTGTTAGTTTCAGGGTACTGGTGTGCAAGGGGGGTGTCATAGCACCTATTCCTCATTAGAAAGTAGAATGACCAAATAAAATGTAACTGCCTTCGACCTCCATCAATTTGAAGTCCTGCCTGTGGTCCCATTAAGTTAAGACCTGCAATTTGGAATACCTGAATTAGGACTGAAATTGATGGGAGATCTTGACAGTATAGGAAAGGTCCTCTAATGTAATTCTGCTTCTTTTATGCACAGATGAAAGGGAGGAAATTATTTTTATTCATTCATACTCAAAATAAAATAAAACCATACTAGTAGGTTTAGGGGTCTTAGTGGACCACAAGCTTAACATGAGTCAACAGTGTGATTGATGCAGCAGCAAAAAAAGCTAATGCTATTCTAGGCTGCATCCACAGAAGTATAGCGTCCAGATCAAGGGAAGTAACAGTACTGCTCTATTATGCTTAGGAGTACTCAAATTGCCAGTAGAAGTAAAAAATTAATCTGAATTTATTCAAACCTATTTGCGTGGTATTGTTACCCATTTATGGCGTTACAGCTGAGCTTTGTCCAACACAATAAAAGGAAATGGAAATACTGGATTGTCTCTCCAAAAAGAAATGGTTATAAATCAAGCCCACTTGTCCTATTTGAATTTAATTGTTTGGGGCATGGTGGGTGATAAAACCCATTGGCTCTTTTACATGTTGCAGCCATTATACCAAGCCACCACAGCAGACATTATGTGTTATGCCTCAAAGTGACCAGGCTTGTGACCAGGGCTGGATCTACACTGATCTGAAAAAACGCATAAAGAAACCACTCAATACAATTTCCCATTGATGATGAATTGCTGCTCTACAGCGCCTTCTGGTGTCACATTTTTATAACGAGTTTTTAACGTTGTAATTGACCAGTGTAGATTAGTCCCAGGTTTACTTGAAGGACCACCTTCCTGCATATCACCCTGGGTAAGAACTGATATCTTCTCACTATCTCTCAGGTATTCATAAGGTGTCAATACTTGAACTCTCTTCCCTGAGAGGTCCATATGGCTCCTTCATTGCTTGAGTTTAAGAGGGAAGTTAAAGCCTTTCTTTTTAATAAGGATTTTGAGCCCTCCTATATGTTTTGGTTGCTCATTCTTCAGACATGACGGTTGCAATTAAGGCCAGTCGCTTGGGGTCTACATTGCCTGCAGAGTTACTAACCATGACATCTGATACATCCTCATGGATTAAAGTCTTCTGACATTCTCTGATGAGCATAGGAGCAACTACAGGTAAGGGAATGTCTAAAGGAGGTCTAACAGGATATTTGCAAGGAAGCAAGTCAAAGCCTGAGACAATCCATTATTCTTCTATATGGGATTCTAAGCACATTTATGTTACAAACGTATCAGGTTTATACCACTTTAATTGCCATGTCTCTCCCCTAAAGCATCCTGGGAACGGCGGTTTAGCAAAGGTACATGCTTTTAGATGTTTTCAATTGCATTTGTTTTTAGAATGTTTTTGCTTTCCTTTTTGTTTTTAACTTGTATATGTTTGCTGCCCTGGGCTTCTTGGGTGGACTACAAACGCCCTAAATATTAGTAAAAATAATATTAACTTTTACAAGGAATTTACAAAACATTCCTGTTTACAGAGGCTTCTGCTGGCTGAAAGTTATGACCCTAGAAACCCTGCAATTGAAAGGACACGATTACTTTTAGCAGTTACAAATTGTTTTTTAAAAGACTGTTTTACATTGTCCTTTAGAAATTTTAATTGTATTAAGATGGATATGCTTGTAGCTCTGGGCTCTTTCAGAGAGAGGTGAAGAGTATGGATCTAATAAATGATAATACCAATGCCAGTGAAACGTTACACTCCGGGACCCAAACTCAGAAGACATACCCTCCCAACATCCCTCAGAGGAAAAAAGCGACATTCCATTCTACATCGGTATCACTGGTGGGGGGAGGGTTTTCTTGCACGTTAAGACTTTTAGCAAAGTTTTTCATGATAGTCCAATATAAAGTATACATTCAAAGCAGCATAATTAACAGGAAACCAAGATATTATCTTAAAGATGCCTCTCGGCTCAAGAGCAGGGTACCTCTCCTCTGAACACCAGCTGCCACATAGCACAAGAAAAGGGAAAGAGCATGAGGCTCTTCATCTCAGAGTTCTGGGTTCGAGCTCCACCTTGGGCAAAAGATTTCTTCATTGCAGGGGGTTAGACTAGAGGACCCTTGGAAACCCAACTCTACAATTCTATGATTCTATGGCTACAGTGTTGAGGATCCAGAATAAACAGTAAACTAGATATAATAAAAATTAATACAAGTTATGGCGGGGGGGGAGGACACTAGCTTGTCCCTTTATACTGTACTCTACTGCTATGATATTCTAAGGGACAAAAACTTTTGCATTTGCACAAGGGCCCTTCCAAGCTGCCCTAGCCATCCACCTGAATCTAAAGGAACAAGGGAGGTGGGAGTACATTTAATTGACCGGCACCAGAACCAGGGGCTTTGGGATCTGTTCAGGGCTGCCCTGAGTCGTCCCGCAACTTACTGTAACAACTTCATGGTGAGTTCCGGCATCTTTTCCTCTTGGGAAAAAAAAATACTGGATATGGCTATGGAACAAGTTCTACATTCACAGACTGTGTACACACCATACATTTAAAGCACATACCTCCAAGAATCCTGGGAACTGTAGTTCACCTCTCATAGAACTATGATTCTCAGCACTCCTAGAAAAATTTACTCAAAAAATTAGAACATTTTGGAAAAGTTCATTTATTTCAGTAATTCAACTTAAAAGGTGAAGCTAATATATGAGATAGACTCATGACATCAGGTGTACACCATGATCCTCACAATTATAACAAATAAAGGCTTGACATATCTCGCTTTGCATGTCATGAGTCCATCTCATATATTAGTTTCACCTATAAGTTGAATTACTGAAATAAATAAACTTTTCCACGATATTCTAATTTTTCGATTTTCACCTGTATAGCGGGCTAGGGTTCCCATTACTCTAGGACAGGGTGCTTTAGGGTGCGTACACACTGCATGATAATGTGAATTCAACACTGGATGCACCAGGAAGATGAAGAAGCCCAGTGTTGCTACATCACCATGTTCTAATAACCTCATGCTTCACTTCTCATCCCTTCTCCCCTCTTACATGAGAACATCTTAGTGGAAGATCTAAGCGTTAGGGGGTGAAAAGTTAGTTTGCGCTTATAAACTTTGTGTAAACTCTTTGATTTTGACTTTGCATTCAGTGGCCCAGTTCCTTGGAATACATCTTAGCCTGGGCTCACTTACATTCCTCTTCTCCAGTAACAGAGGCAGAGCTAGGAAGAGGGTGAAACATAAGCTCCTCTCTCTGACAACCTTCCATTCCACTCTAGGAACTAGAAGCTCTGTTGCTGCTGTTAAACCTTGAGTCAAGCGGCAGGAACCTCTTGGCTGCTCCAGGCAGAGAGCAAGGAAAAGAGGCCACAAGAGTCATCTAGTCCAACCCCCTGCACAATGCCAGCTGTAGTTTTAAACCAGCGTTTCCTATTTCATGCAGAAAATGCAACACTTAATAGCGCAGCCCTGTCTACTCAGAAGCAAGTTTGCACACAGAAGATCCCAAGTTGCAAAAAACAGACCCTTGCCCTCGTTTGAAATCACAGTGAGCTGCCATTTCTTCCTGGATATTACAGTAATAATTATCTTGTCTCTATGCGAGGATCTGCTATTCTTGCACAGCATCACCCCCCCCCCTTTAACACACACACTTACTGCTTAACTCTTGGGTATATGGGGGGGCAATTCTTCACAAGCACCTCTCCTTTGAGAAAGGTGGCATGTGGAGTGGGAAATGTATTGGAAATGTGTTGATATTACAGTGTGTGACAGGAAAAAAGGCTGGAGTTCAGAATCCTGGCAGGGCCATGTCCCACTTCGCCCACAAGAGGGGCTTCCCCTAGTAAGCCCACCAATTTCAGCAGGGCTGACTCCCACGTTAGGGGTGTGTTGCGAGGGGGAAATATGGAGGTGCGGGAGAACAAAGTGAGCCCCTCATGCATCGCAAGAGAAAAGCAAGAGGCTTCTACGGGCAGGAGGCAGAATGGCTCTCTGACAAGGGCCCCAGGGTGCTTCCTCCTTCCCAAGGCCAAAAATGAGGCTCTTGAGCGGTATGGGAATAGAGATACTATTACCAACTTAACATGAACAGGCCTGGCCTGCTCCTGTGCCTTTCATGCCAGCTTGGTCCTCACCTCAGACTACCAACAAGGCTGTGACTCTTGTCCCCATGCCCAGAGAGAGCTCACCTGCACAACCTGCCAATTAAAGGGGGGGGCATTCCTGCCCTCTCTCTCTCTGCTTTATTTACTGACATGCGCTGACACGAGGTTGCTGTTGTTGTTTTAAAGATCTTGAATTTCGTACTCGCCTGCATCCAGATAATCTCTACACTCCTCCAGATCTTGCAATTGCTGCAATAGTTGCTCTTCCAAGTTCTGCTTCAACTTACTGGTCTCAATTGTTCCCCTTCAAGCCATTTCAAATTTTGTGCATAACAAGACCACCCTAAACCAGGGGTGGGGGTCCTCTGCCCCTCCCCCCACTTACCCAGCCCCCCACCCCTCACTGGCCTCGCACCCTCTTCCTTGAGCCTTTTTCTGCATGGAGGGATTATCCCCCCGCCTCCATTAATCCTCCTTGTTGACACGAGGTTTTGGAAAGGACCGCTCGAACTTGAGAGAAAACATGCCCAGCAGTTTTCTGAGAAAAAAACACGTCATGATTAACAAACCGTAGCCAAGTCCCAAAAGGAAAAAAGCAAGAAAAAGCCATTTTCACGGAGGCGCACCAGCCAAAACTTTGAAGTCTCCACCAGAGGGAGCCGAGCGAGCCCAGTCGCCCGGCGAGAGTAAAGCGAAGCACCGGCGGCCGCCGTTTATTTCTCATCTCCCGCCCTTTCATTAAAGCCCCACGAATGCGTCTCGTTTGTTTGCCCGGGAGCTGTCCGGGCCAAACAGGCGACGCCCGTGGTCGTGTGAATGGCTTTGAGCGGGGCTCGGATGTGCTGAGAGCGGTGTCTACCGCGAGAGAGCAAAACGGGCGCAGCCAGCCGGGCTGATTAAGGCCTTGGGGTGGGACAAGGGTCTGGGAGGCGTTTGATCTTCCGCGCTTCAAAGGGAGTCCTGAGCTGGAGCTTCACTCGACGCCGCTCGCCCGGAGACGGCTTGAGAAAACACGGCGCAGGCGCCAATGGCAGCGAGCAAATAACGGCTTCCAGGCAGCTGCGAGGCCGCTAGGGGCTGCCCGGCTTGTTTGTTTTTTCAGGCAGTGCCACCACAAGTCCCGCGCGCCCGGTTTGGCTTTTATAGCTGGCCAAGCAGAGCGGTCGCTTGCTTACCTGCAACAGGCGGCCTCCCATTTCGCTTCAGTGCCTCGCTTTGTTTTCACAGGCCGGTCAGGAGGAGTATTTTGCGCAGGGCTCACAACCCCAGCTGTGTGTGTGTCAAGATTTCCCTGCCTTGGATAAAATTCCCCTCCAGATCTAACTCAGGGCAGGTCTTTCCGTACCAAAACACAGGCGCTAAGCGAGCCCTGAGGCGTGGAGCGGGGCAGTTCTCAGCGCAAGACAACAACAACAACACAGCTGTAGCAAATAATTCCCGAATTGCGGGTACTCCCAACAAGTGAAGGAAGCGGCCTTACACACCCAGTCAGGCCATTGGTCCACGTGGCTCAATGCTGTCTACACCAATTGGCAACAGAATTATCCTTAAAAACGGAGAGGACAGAAAGTTCCATTGCGTTAACTGCCGTGTATTGGCACTTGTACACATGTAGTCATATTACAGAATGAGAGGGGGGCGGGCAGAGCAAGCCACCATAAGTCTGCCTTTGTCTGATTTATGTTCGTTGAATGTCCTTGAATGTCTGAAGAAGGCTACAGATGATGACTTGTTTGGAACATTGAAACCTTGTCCACATTTGGAGCACTGCTCCATCCAACTCAGCACTGTTTACACTGACTGGCAGCAGCTCTCTAGGATTTCAGAGAGTGGGTGGCCTTTCACAAGAAATATCAGGATTTGAGCCCAGGACCTACTGCAGACAAAGCAGATCACCACTAAGCTGCAGTCCTTCCCTCTTCTAATGGTACCAGGGCACAGATACCTTTAGTTTCCTTTTGAGCTGCTACGTACACCTATGACCCATCTCAACGCTCTACAATACTTCAGGGGGAGGGGCTCCAGGTAACCCAGCAACCAGTGAGAGCTGGTGAGACCATCAGCCAATCAGGACGGGAGGGTGGTTAAGTTAAGTTGGTGCCTCAGTTGTGACACCATCACACATTAAACCCTCACAGGGTGTAATTAAATAAATGCTTAGGATAAAATATTTGGTCTTCAGAACTGAAAGACTTTGCTTCTGGCAACTACCAGCCCCAACCCATGTGTATGTGTGTGTTTGTGTTGGGAAGGCAGGTGCTGGTGAAAAGCGAACTAATCCAAGTGGCCTGGGAAATTGGCTCCTTTGCTATTTGACTCCATTACTTACAATATAAAAAAGAATTCCTTTACATTCATCATGTGTATAGACCTAGTAACTGAGGATTACCCTTCAGAGAGCAGATGAAGTGAACTAAAGTCCATCAAAGCTTAAAGGTAAAGGTACCCCTGACCATTAGGTCCAGTCACGGATGACTGGGGTTGTGCGCTCATCTCGCTCTATAGGCTGAGGGAGCCGGCGTTTGTCCGCAGACAGCTTCCGCAGACAGCATGACTAAGCCACTTCTGGCAAACCAGAGCAGCGCACAGAAATGCCGTTCTACTTGCACTTGACTTGTTTTTGAACTATTAGGTGGGCAGGAGCTGGGACCGAACAACGGGAGCTCACCCTGTCGCGGGGATTCGAACCACCAACCTTCCAAAGGGCAAGCCCTAGGCTCTGTGGTTTAGACCATCAGAGCTTACGCCATAGCAAATATGTCAGTCTGCTACATGCTGTAGGGCTCTCTGTTGCTACGGAGGTATGTGTGGCCCACTTTAAGGTAGTGTTACAGCAATAGCATTCAACTTCCCTATGAAGTTGGGTGGCCTGTCTTGTGCACTGGATTATGCTCCCTAGGATTGTATAGCTTAGTATATGCAAGCAGCAAACAATTCTTCCTGCCTAATTACTTTATCTCTTAACTCCCTCTCCTGGAATTTAATTCTTTCTTGTCGGGAGATTTTCTTTTGTTTCAAAGCCCTTGATGTATAAATCAACCCACTCAGCCTAGCAGTCACCCCCCTCTTCTTTTCCTGTTAGTAATTTGTTCAGACTGCTCTTGAAAAGCTAGATGGCATTAAAATTCTTCCTTTATTTTGTTTTTTTATCATCAAGAAGATACAGTAGAAGAATGCACTCACCTATTTCCTAGTAGGCCCCAGACCAACAGCCCTCATAAAGGACTTGGCTGGATGTATGGCTCACAAAGTAAGTGCCACAGCTAGGGAGACTTCCTGCCCTCATTAAACAGAGTGCTTGTAGCTGTGATAATTTGAGGCAGCTCTCCAATTAGAATAGCTATCCAAACTAGGGTATGGGTACCCACCAAACAGGGAGAGTTTATCGTAAAGGCAAGGTAAAATAGGTTTAGGTTACTCTGCAGCAGCATTGAGAGGGCTACTACAGCAGTGAAAGGGAGAACTTTATTTCTATTCAGAATGTGTGTGTCTTATGTCCTGGAATGCATTAAGGAAAAATAGCATGAACTGCATGCTCTCTACTACTAAAAGAACACACAAGCAGACCACGTTGGGTTGTCATTTGCAAAAACGGGATACTGCACCTTTAATAGTTGTGTAGATGTGGGAATTGCAGTAGGTGTAGCTTGTCATGCATGCTACACCTGCTGAAAGTCCCTGTTCTACACAACCATTAAAGCTGCAGAGGTCTCATCCTCCCTTGCATCTGGTCACAATTACGATTACGATTACGATATCTTTATTGTCATTGTCCCTTGCGGAACAATGAAATTGAAAAACTACATAAAACTACCACAAAACTACATAAAACTACATAAAAACTACATAAAACATTCAAAAACCCCTAAAAACTCTAAAACCCCAATTTAAAATACACTATACTACAGAGACCCCTTATGCTGCGTTTAGAACCAGAATTGCATTAGCGTAGGAACTTTAGTCCACCACACAAATGCCTGGATCAATTCAGAGATGTGACTTAGGAGTTGAAGCTTGGACTTCCCATAGGCATTAACCACTGCTGGGTGCTTCCCTGTACAGGGAAGGAAGCATGAGCATTCCTGATCACGTGATTCTCCCTATTCATGTACATCTGGGCATACATAGATATCATTTTTATGAATTTGGCTAAAGAGACATTGATATCAGAGGTGTGACTTATACCCACAACATTGGTGTCTTCTGCTTAGCACATGAAAAAATGCACAGAGAAGTAAAAGGTTTGAAGTTTGAAATCTGGCTATAGATGTCGGGGTAGCAGACCACCAAGGGAACCTACCACAATTTCTACTTCTACAACAAGATGCTAACTTACTTGAAAATCACTGATTTCTAAGAAAAATATCTCAGAATCTAGGCCTGCTGACCAATAATAACTTGTAACAGTACTTTTAAAAACTTATTAATACAATGCATACATTTTGGAAGTGAGCACCATTGAACACAGCTATATTTACTTCTATACAAATATGCACAGTCATAGTAACTTTTAGGATAAGGTTTTCCTATTGTATATAAGCCCCTATGCACACTAACAGGCTCTTTTCATGCAGTCATCTGAATGCACCAATGTCTGGGCTATGGCCAGGATGAAACCCTGCTGACGTCAACAGGGTAGATTACTGTCATTTCCTCTTCCATGCCTATGAAAATGGGAACCTGTGAACAGGACTTAACATTTTAAATCATAATCTTATTCCAGTTGCAATGGAATCATAGAATCATCCAGTTGAAAAATATTTTTTTTCCAGCAGGCAACTGTCCTAAGGTGCAATGTATTTGAATGATTATTTTTTTTACAGTGTCTTATGGTTATGTAGGTGTCTATAACCATAACCTCCTTTAGGCAGATATTGCAATATCCAACTTTACTCTATTAGGTTTCTCTAGCTGGCCATAGAAATAAGGAAGTTAATGGTTCAGAATCCCTGGTACACAAATCAACCCACTCAGCCTCACACACCCAAGCACACACACACACACACCATATTGTTAGACTACATTTATTAGTATTTCCTAGCAGCACTTCCTCACTGCCCGGAATTTAAAAACGGGAGGTACACGTCAATCTGATACAAAGATACAGCAGAATGGTCAATTCCCAGGAGCAGTTTGGGACAAGTCAAGGCAAGAGCAATTAATCATGCTAAGATATGGCAGACAACCCTCTCCTGTGACTGGTTAATTTAGAAACTGAATTCACTTAAACAAACAACATCAAGTCCTACAAGAAATCTGCAAAATAACAAAACAGGTATTAGAATCAACTCCAGAACTGGCCCTATTAAACAATTTCCAAGACAACAACATTACAAAAGGCTCATAAGACACCTACTCTCAGCAACTAGGAGCATCATAACTAGACACTGGAGGGACCTATCAGGAGTGACCATAGACCACTGGTACCAAACTGTATAGGAAACAGTCCCACTAGAAAAGCTAACCAATGAATTAAAACTAGCATGGGGGACAAACAAAGAGCCCAACAAGACAACAACCTCACCCCGCCCTCGACAGCATATAAATTAATATGGCTAACCTGACCCAACGATCCCCCCACCCCTTCACACATGCAACCAAACTTTGCTGCAATAAACTGAATGCAACCAACCAGGCCCTGGGCTCTCTGACCTCTCACGCTACCAACAAAAACAAAAAAGGAATACATAAAGAACCTACCCACGTGACACAGTCACAAAACTTCACGCATAAACTATCATTACCCCACCTCTTTCTCCCACTTCTCCCCCCAAAAAACCTCACAATGACTATGATAGCTGTGTCTTGCAGCAAATATAACTGACTTGTAGAAAGGACTTTATGAACTGAAAACAGACATTATGTGTATCAAATTAAAAGTGTGTACTATAGTGTGTACTATGAAAGGACGCGGGTGGCACTGTGGTCTAAAACCACAGAGCCTAGGGCTTGCCGATCAGAAGGTCGGCAGTTTGAATCCCCGTGACGGGGTGAGCTCCCATTGTTCAGTCCCAGCTCCTGCCCATCGAGCAGTTCAAAAGCACGTTAAGTGCAAGTAGATAAATAGGTACCACTACGGCAGGAAGGTAAACGGCATTTCCGTGCACTGCTCTGGTTCGCCAGAAGCGGCTTAGTCATGCTGGCCACATGACCTGGAAGCTGTCTGCAGACAAACGCCGGCTCCCTTGGCCTATAGAGTGAGATGAGCGCGCAACCCCAGAGTCATCCATGACTGGACCTAATGATCAGGGGTACCTTTACCTCTGCCTTTACTATTACTTAATGATTGGAAGAGATGTGACTTTCAAAATGCAAAGTCTTCAGGGGTCAGAAAATTGTATTTTCAGGTAGTAGAAAATAAGCAGCTCAGAAGAGCCTAGTATGGCACTCCCGCCTGGTTGGATTAAGTTAAATTGTGGTTGATTCATTTTAATTGGACAAATGAATTGTTTAATGCAGAGGTGGCTAACAAATTGCTCTCCAGATGTAACTTCCATCATGCCTACCCATTAGCCATGCTGTCAGGGACTGATGGGAACTGGAGTCCAACGATATCTGGAGGATTATAGGCTCCTCATCGCTGGTCTAGTGTAATAAATCTTTAGGAATTGAATATTATTTGATTGCCTACTGAAATTATTTTCCCAGAGCCAGCCCATTTTCAGTTTTCATTATTGTATTGAACATCATTATTCGCAGCAATCATTGTTGGATTTATTTCTGGTGTGTGATAGTCATCAGCTTGGTCAAGATAGTTATATTCTACCTCCACTTTTGAAGGCAGTATACCTCTAAATACCAATTACTAAGGACCATAAGTGACTGGGGTGCTGTTGCACTCAGGCCTGCCAACTGGGCACTGTGAGAACTGAATGCTGGACTAGTTGGGCCTTTGGTCTGATCCATTTGATCCACAGCAACTGAAGAAAAGTTATATAAAAATAAACCTAATATGACTACTTCATTTCTCATTTGTTACAAACTTGCTTCAGTAAAGTGATTCATATGGATATGTTCTATCCTTGCATAGGGATAAATTTGAGGCAATAAAAAAGGCCCTTCCCAGGTATACCAGAGAGCTGTTAGATGTCATAGTACAACACAGCCTAATTACAAAATACAAGCTGCCACGATAACATGTAATTGGATACAAGCAGAAAACAGATGACATGAACATTCCAAAATGTTTATGAACTAGATATGCCAAGGTTATGGTGGCAAGGTTAAAAAGATAAGTACCTGCATAAGAGGGAATCTCTGCCGGTGTAGCCCACATGACAAACTGCACCCACTGAAATTTGCTCCTATCTGCAATTTAATGACAAGGAACACCTGCTGAAATTATGCCAAATAATTATTAAAGGTGCAGGAGCCTTTTCTTCTTTTCCACCTGGCCACCCTACGTTACAGTTTTTGGTGGAAAAGTTCAATAGGCTTTAGGTTGCAACAACAGTTTATCTAAATCTGTTGTGCTATATGTATGCTACATATTTGTTCCAATGCTATAAATATAAAATCTGTATCTGACTGTATTTTATAAAAATATTGGCTCAATAGAGCTTCTAGCACACTGCAATCCTTAACATACAACCTGGGAGTGAGTCTTTTGGACACAGTGGGATTTACTTCTGAGCAAACATGCAGAGGAGCGTAATATAAATTTATTTATTTTCAAAGCTATGATTTCTCCTGAGATGTAAAAACAGGATAATTAGCAGAGTTTATTTTAGATGACAGAGACTGATGTTGTCACAAGGAATTCCCATCTATTCACTCTCTAGTACATATGGCACAACCATTGTTTTGAAGGAACAATGCCAATTTAAGAACAAAAGGGACACAGAAATGGTTTGTGGATGGCGTGGCTAGCACCCATTAAAATTGTTCCTCTTTGAACTCCTTGATCAACCTAAGCTCCCTAGGAAGATCTAGGCCCATGGCTAGAAACAATTAGCTCTCTGCACCTCCAAAGAAGCTGCAGTTCAGAGGATTCCTTATCAACATGAGCTGATCAAACTACATATGGTTTGAGAGGACTAAAAGGGTGAGAATAATTTTTGTTCATAGCCTGTAGTGGTTCTTTGATCTCCATTGGCTGTTTAACTAGCATCTCCAATGATACCAAATTCAAAAATCTTAGCAGTAAAAAAAAAATGTACGGTAGGGGGAGGGGGGTGGAAAGCAGACTAGGCTAATCTTGCATTTAATTATTTATTTTCAAATTCCACAGTGCAACTCATCCCCTCTCTAATCTGCAATTAACAAACTCCAGTCTATTGCCTTGCCTCTTAATAGGGCATCAAAGAGCAACTTGAAAGCTCTGTTCCCATTGGTCCATCTTTTTTGATGCCCCAAAATTAAAAAATGAAGCCTCGTTATATAAGTTTCCCCACACCAAAGGTAAGAGTGGGAATGGCTGGATGTGAAACATCAAGAGAAATCCAGCTGTGGGCAGTTTGCAACCTCCTATTACGAAGTTCTGTAATGAAAAATATATCTTTAAAACAGACAACTGGAAGGTGGGAGAGGGGTCCTTTCATCAAGTTGCTTTGAAATAGCCCAGAATCCACAGACACTAGTCGTAAGATACTTCAGTGCAACATCAGTGCCATCTCAGAGGAAAATGGCTTGCTTTAACGTAACTTGTGGAATCAACTACACTGAAGCATCTTTGATAGTTGTCTCCAGGGCTGGCTCTATCATTAAGCTGAGTGAGGCAACTGCTTCAGGTAGCAGATGTTGAAGGAAGCATAGACCTTTATCCTTTTTGGAGGACAGTGCTGTGTGTGCCATGTGGGCAGCCCTGCATCCACTATTCTGCCCCCAGGTGTGGGGGAGAATGTGATGCCATGAGGAGCACTGAAGTAAGATTCAGCTGCCAGTCCAGTTAGCTTCTGTACATGGGATGGGAGGCAGGGGCACCAGTGTGGTGTAGTGATTGGTGTGTTGGACGGTAAGACCTGTGAGACCAGGGTTCAAATCACCGCTCTGCCATGATGTTCGCTTGGTGACCTCGGGCCAGTCACTCACTCTCAGCATAACCTGCCCCACAGGGTTGTTGTGAAGATTAAATTGAGAGAACTACATGCACCACCTTGAGCTCCTTGGAAGAAAGGTGGGATAGAAATGTAAACAAACAAACAGAAAAGCACAACTGTCTTGGGCTTGCCCTGATCATCACCTTCAGTTATTATTAATGTTCCATAGCAAAGGAATGTTGCCCTATTCCACTGCAACTAATTTGTTAATGGTAAAAATCTTGTACATGTCTACGCAGAAGCAAGCTCTACTGAGGTCAGTGGTACCTGCTTCCAGGAAAGCTTACTTAGGGTTGCAGTCTAACATTGATTGCAAAGGTAACACTCTCTTCTCACTAATAATCTAATTCGCTACTGAATATGATAGGGGCTGCAAGAGAAAGAGGGGTGACATTGTTATAAAGTCAGAGTCACCCTTCGTTCCCCATCTTCTCTTCATTTTACTCGAAAGTAAACACTATGTTCAGTGCTTCAAAGTTACCGTGCTTGAGATTGCAGCCAGACGCGTTCACTGGAAAGGGAGTGTTTTATTATGCGTTTTTACTCGGAAGTCATTGCCACAGAGCTAAAATATGCACAGGGGGGTTGCCCGATTCCCTAGGCAGCGCACCTTACATGGACAGCTAAAACACGGAACTGTCTGAAGAGAATTCACACCAATAAATTTCCTCTTTGGGTGCTCTGAAGGGATAGCTGCTGCGAAGCCAGCGGAACACTCGCCCCCCGCTTTCTATGAATAATCGTCTGCATCCAAATCAAATCAAGATTCATGGCGTTGCAGCAAGTGCGAATTTCCCTGCCGGCCGATCCCCAATTAGGACATCCGCCCAATGAGCGAATGGCTTTGCGGGGGTGCGTCGCATCTTCTCCCCCCCCCCCACCTCCGCCGGATGATCCTTTTGTAATCCCATCCTCGGCGGGGCTGCGCGCCCTCCCCCTCCCCCCGAGGGGCGGGAATTAGGACCCCGGGGAGTATAAAGTCAGCTCAAAGGAAGCGAGCGGAGATTCCTAAACTCCCCCGCAAGGCTCGAAGGACCCTTATCTCCTGGGAATTTGCACACACACTCTACTTGGGGGCTTTGAAAAATAAAAATAAAAAATCAAGACCGAGTTGGATCCGAACCCGTGACCTTCCGAGCTGCTATAAAATATTCTTGCCGTCGCAAATATGCTAACGTTGTGCGCGGACGGATCCTGCCGTCTAGTTACAGTGATGGTGCTCGCTCTTTCTTTCTCGGGCTGCGCCGACGCCGCGGAGAACTCCGCTTCTATCTCCAACGCCATCATTAAGAGCTCGGCGGCGGCCGGATTTCCAGTCACCCCGGCGCCGTCGGCGTACGACGGAAGTAACACGCACCACCCAGTCGATCCGCACCAGGTATGTGTTTGGGGTGTGTGTCTCCTTTTCTGCGCGCGAGAGGGAGAGGGAGAGGCGGGGTGGGGTGGGGGTCACCGTCTACCCACGGGGCTCCTGGGAGCCTTCTCCTTTCCGCTGGCGCTTCCTCACTTGGATTTTCCTCGCCTGCAGGGCTATCCGTGCATCGGGGACGACGACTGCAGAGCGGGAGAGTATTGCGCCACCCCTGCCCTGCCGGGCTACCCGGCGGCACAGATCTGCCTTGCCTGCCGCAGGCGCCGCAAGCGCTGCCATCGCGACTCCATGTGCTGTCCGGGCACTTATTGCAGTAACGGTGAGTGTTGCTTGGCTTTGGTTGTTTGCCTGAGGCTGGACCTGCCGGGTGTCGATAAGACCGGCATAAAGTGGGGGGGGGGGGGCAAGGTGCTCTACTGCTGGAGGCAGAAAGCGCCCTTCCTCGAATGATAGCGAAATAAAATGACGTGGGTGTTTAAAGAGCACACTCCCAAAACCTGCCCATCTGGCTGCGGGTGAAGTAATGGAAAGTCTATTGGCTTTTTGGCCAGCATCCTACCTGTCAATGGAGTTGGGGGAGAAGCTTGGCTGGCAATGTGCAATTGCTAGAGCACTTACCTAGGAGTAAGCACCGTTGACTATAGGGAGACTGACTTCTAAACTAAATGCAGGATGTGCTTACTTATGGTGAATGTTTGGGTTTAATCTTGCCAGAGAGCCTTGGGATGCTCACTCAAAAGCTGATGGTATAGTGAGGGACTATTACTTACGCAGGCCGACTGCTAGGATTTCAGAACTGATGATAAAACACAGTAATAAATGACATTGCATTAGCTAGAGTCACTATTGCTACATCTAGGCTGACATTGTCTACCCTGAATGGTAGCGGCTGGAGAAGAGGGCTTTTCCATCATCAGCTACCTAATCTTCTTAAATGGAGATGTGGGAGATTGAACCAGAGACCTTCTGCATGCCTGACATGTGTTCTGAGTTATGATCCCTCCCTGAAGTTGGCTCCAGAATAGATTGTGCTGTCTCAGGCTAAGTGTTTGAAGAATACAGAGGAGCAAGCCCATTCCAGTGCTTAGGCTTCTTTTCGTTCCTGGTGGTGTTTCAAGTTTTCAGTAACACCTGAAGGAAGACCCCAGTTGTAGGAGAAAGAACTAGGTAAATTACCCAAATCAGCTGGGTTACTGGGCACTAGCACTGAGGTCCTGAACAGGTTATAGGCTTCAGGGATAAGAGGCATGCAACTTAGTATTAGTATTTCACTGTGTAAATGTGTTTTATAAATGGAGCACCAAGATTTTCTCCAGCATCTGAGGGAGTTTACCCAGGAACAACAAAGCAGATGATTGAAATGGTTTTCCATAGCTATCAGCCTGTTTTCGCTGAGTTTTGGTTTTTGTTTCTTTTTATTAGGGATCTGTGTACCAGTGGAATATGATAAGTTCCATCCTGGGGAGATTGAGGAGACTATCATAGAGAATTCAGACCATGGCACTTTGGACCTTCACCCCAAAAGGACCACAATTTCATCCCACTTTCACTATGCAAAAGGTAAGGGTGTTAGCAGCTATACAGGCTGGGGTGGGGTGGGAAAGAAGGCAAATATGGCACTGCTGAAAAACCTTTAAGGTTTTTCAAAGTCTTGGAACAATTGTAGATCTTGACTGATAATGGATGCGTTGGGAGTGATTGTCCCACTGCATGCTGCAAACTCATGTGTTGTAGAGACTGCTGTTTTGACCACTGCAGTGGTGCTTTAAAAATTTGATAGCTTTATGCCAGTCCCTATATAGGCATTTCATCCCTTCCAGGGTTCTCTTAAAATTGATGCCTTCCGCTGTGAAGGCTTCCTTTCAAAACCTCAAATGGTGACATTCTCAATAACTATGTACACATTTCTAGCACTTGGGTGGCCAATATTTTGAGCATGTTTTCCCCACAAAGTTTTCCTTGCAACGGATGGTACTTCTATAGTGGGACACACATGTCAACAACTGTTAGCAGCAACCCAAAGACATGCTCTCAGAACTGGGCAACATCCTTTGTCAACACATGGCTTGTTCGGTTCAATGGCTTGCAAATTCCTGTTTACGGGGAACACTTTTACACAATGGATCTGCTAAGGAACTCTTAATATTGTCAAATTGTGTTAGAAGGTTCTATGGCACATACTCAGCTTGTGTGGCACTGGCCTTTGGCCTTCCTATGCTCCTGCATAAACACACATATATACCTGTGGTATGTGCAAAGCATGTGTGAGTTATGGTGAAATTTTCAGGGAAGCACTTTGAAAACCGTTGGTTCAGTGTCTTATCGCTTTCACTGCAGTTGCTTAAGGAGAAAACAGGACTAGGGATAAACAAGTATCGCTCTGTTCTCAATTACCCTTTCCTTTATTTCCTCAGGTGAAGAAGGTGACTCATGCCTCCGCTCCTCAGATTGTATGGAAGGACTGTGCTGTGCCCGTCATTTCTGGTCCAAGATTTGCAAACCGGTTCTTAAGGAAGGCCAAGTGTGCACAAAACACCGCAAGAAAGGTGCTCATGGTTTGGAGATCTTCCAGAGATGCAGCTGTGGGGATGGATTGACTTGTCGGATACAAAGAGACCACACAATCAGCAACTCACCCAGACTACATACTTGCCAGAGGCATTAACTGATGCATTTTTATTACTAAACCTGATGGACTTAAAGAGACTGAGGTGTGGGATACTCTTGTTCCGGGAAAATCACCTCCAAGGACTGACATGTTTTAGAGTTTACACTAAAGTACTCCAGCATCTTGCCCCCTCAAAACTGGAGGATGAAGCATGTTTCTTTAGGGAACTATTTTTAAAAGTGACTAATTACAGTAAATTACTGTGTCTGTAAATTCTTGGGTGTGGCACTTAACTGTACATGATGGGAGATTTTAATTTTTCCTGAAGTGCTGCATGATCTTGTCTATTGTGACATGTGTTGTACACACTGGTTTTATTTTATTGAGCCTATTGTTTTGACAAGTGAAATAAATTTCTTTTAATTATCTGTTGGGTGGTGATTCTGTTAGTTGTAATAATTATAGCCATCATTGGTGAATCTTTTTGTACAGTAATATCTGATCACGTACTGTCTCCGTGAGTGCAGAAGCACCAACCTAAGAATTATAGGGAGGGATTATACTTGCAAGTTAGAAAAGGTTTGAAACATCTGACACTCTTCAGTTTTGATCAAACATTGGGGAAGAGTTTCAGATCTCTAATTGTAGGTGTGCTAGGCTGTAACTCTGGTAACTGTTTCCCCATCACTTCAGCCCATTCTGTGGGTTGCAGATTTCTACTGCTGGGTTTCTACAGTAAGTCTAGAGAATACCTAGCATGAAATATTACTCTTCCTCTCTCCTGGCAATTTCAGGGGTGGGTTCAATAGCAGTACAAGTATAGGGGTTGCAGCAAATTGCCATCTAGATAAATTTTCTATCTCTGCTAAACAAATTGGGCTCTGAAAGCGTTGTGTGTACAAGTATTGCACCATTATGCTTGACAACCCTCAAAATTAAAAGGTACCCGGTAACTACTGTGAACACTGAGCACTTAAGTTGCATGAATTCCCCCCACCCACAGTAATCTTCATTCAGAACTTTTTTTATAAAGTATGCTTTCTCCAGTGAATAGACATCTAATGTGTGTTCTGTTTGTAATTCTAAGAACACATGTTTCATTGATATTTCAAGGTAGCTAACAATAAAATGTGCAGCTACCCCAAGCAAGCTTGAGGTGCATTCATCTGCATCTCAAATTGAACTACTTTGGAAATTCAAGCAAGAGCTGAAATGCCATCATACAGGTCTTGCTGAAGCTTCCCAGGATCTCATTGTTGAGGGAAGGATGGCTGGGACTTGAGGATGGTCTTGTGAGTACTTTGAGTTCTTTACTTCATTGCATTCCCTTCCAGCTCATCATTCAAGAGACAAAACCTAGGGAATACCAATTCTTCTTGATAGCAATACTTTTGCTTTAGGGTTGTGGATTAATTTTAATGGGATAATACGTTGTTATTGCATGATGGGGCTGTTGAAGATGGAGCTTTCTGATTACAGGAATGCTCCATCATTGACAGAAGGTGGTCTTAACAAATGCCAACTCCAGGAGAAAGCATTCAGATAGGGCTGCTTGTCATTTCTATTTAGTTTCCTCTCCCAGATGGATTTGGTCACTTCCCTTCCCCCTACACTTTTTTTTAAAGCTAATCATTTGGCTGTGAGGCCTTTTCAGCAGTATACATTCTCTTGGCATGGTGAATCAGCACTTCTTAAAGGTTAAGGCACACAATCCCCCATAGATCATTATCAGCTGCATTCTTTATTCAGGCAAGGTCAGCTATTGCTCCATTATTTGTATGTTTCTCCAGTGCCATCTTAAGCTTCAGTAAATTGGCCTGAGGGGCTTTGCTGCAAAGACATCAGGGTGGTTTCAAAGCAAAGGAAATGTGATTGCTGTGACACTGCCTTGTGGAGGGGTGGCCTGAACTGATGAGGAAGGATTAATTTCCCCCCTCCCTCTGCCAGCCTTTATCTGCCACAAGAAGATGCAGCTCTCCTCCCAGTGATCATCTGTGGCTAGGGTCTCAGGAAGACACAACAGAGGAGAGGAAACAGGAAACCGCTTGCTGCAGAATGAAGAAAACATCATTTGCAGGGAAGTGACAGGCAGCTCCTTAGAGGGAGAAAAGCTATTAAGTGTTCCCTTTTCAAACCACATCCTCCTTCCCCCTTCCCAGCCCTGCTGCCACTTACAATGCCCCAGATCAAATTCACCTGTGCAGCCTTGGGAGACATAAGGCCAGAACAGAGGAGGAAAACTCAACCCTGGAAAATGACCTGAATGAGGAAAGGCAGAATGCTGCTTCTATAAGAACTCCTGCATTAATCACCATCATAAAGGGAGCTCAGTTGAATGGGCACAGAGGCAGAAGCAGTGAAATATTGTTTCTCAACGGCACGTGCTGCACGCAGAGTCTTCCACCTGCATCCATGCAGCATCTTTTAATGTTTCATTTTGGGAAGTACTGTGTTGAGGATTCCAACCTAAACACGTTATTTAATGGCAATAATGTAGTGGCCCGATGCAGTCTTCAGTGGAATCCCTTTGCCTGGCATACAGATGATACATCTGAGCACACAGCACAGAGACTGCTCCCCGGTGTGAGACCTTTGTGAGATGAAGGAATTTTATCCTACTCATGTTCACAAGTCCCACTGAGCTCAATTAAAATTTACCTACTGCAATCTAAGCCTGAGCAGCATTAGGCATGACTAAGGCTACTGAAAGCAATGTGTTTAAATACATCTGATTCTTCATGAGCCTGGGCTGTTTATATAGAGTTGCTCATTTGAGAAAATACTAGCTTGAGGTTACTTAAACTATCTTCTTAATTTTGATATACATTTTATGGGTATAGTCTGGGGACAAAAAAGGTTCAAGTAAGGGTTTGCAAAATAAAACACTGCTGAGCTTTGCTTCTATGAGAAACTCCAATTTTTTTGGCTTCGACTCCCCTATTTTATCTGCCTATATAAATTGCGCTTGTTATGCAAACCAGATTAGCGCATTGATGTGGGTTATCTCCCAGCTGTGGCTTCTTTTTGAAGGCAGTTTTATGTTTAATAGGGACACCCAGCATAATAGCTCTGCAAACATAATGCAGTGCACACAACGGTACTTCACTTCCTTTGTATCCCATTTCAAACTGTAGCTTATACCTTTGGCTTCCCTTGGGAATCTAATAGCACTTTGAGCAAAATTAAACCCTATTTCCATCGAAAGAGAAGCCAATGCACTCAATGTGCGAATGGATGTTGTGGATGAGAGTAAGGAGCTACATGACCATGAGACTTCTGCTTTCTACATTCATTTCTACTTGGTTCATGTATGAAGGGGACTTGAGAATTTGAAGAGTGTTTAACGATTCCTAGAACTACCTATGAGCACCCAGGAAGGAAAATGCAGTTGCAAAGTGGATAGTATAAAGAGACAGAAATAAAGAAAGGTTTAGCCCTGTGAAGCTACCATGTAGTACGGAAGAAGAGTTGGACTAAAAGATTCAGGCAGGAATAGTTGAAGATTTGAGAGACAAATTAAAAGCTGATGAGACAACAGAGACTGTGGATAAGGAAGCATCTCAAGATTGTGGAGAGGAGAACAGCAGCCTTCTGCTCACTTGCAACATTGCATGCAAATTCCATAATTCACAACAAACAGTAGCGCAGGGGTGGGGGAGATTTTGGCAAGAAACTGAGTCTCGGGGGCCACAAACTAGATTCTGGATGGGGACCTATATGTCCCTTGTATATCTTGCCACAAGAAGTGACAACAAGGAGAGGCTGGACTAACTGAGCATTTAATCTGAGCATTTAATACTGGATCTGGAAAGAAATAAGGAGCCGATGGGATGAAAAGCATCAACTCACATGATCACAAAGCTGCTAAGTGGATAAAGGTGGTCGTGCGTACTGGGCTACTCCACCTTCAAGAGTTCTGTAGAAGAGTGGATTGTCACAGAAATTACACCTACTGAAATCCCATTCTTTGCACAACCATTAAAGATGTACAAGCCCTGCTACACACACACACACACACACAATTATTTTATTTTATTTTATTTTATATTTTATTTTATTTTTTGCATCTTGCCACCTAGTATAGGCAGCAGAATTCTTAACAAGAAGTGAAGCTGGAAGAAAAGCCGGCTGGAAAACAAAGCTTTACACTAATCCAAATGAGAAGTAATCAAAGCCTGAACCAGTGTCTTCAGCAGGTGATTCCTGTACCTTGTTGGAGCTGCCCATGCTTTTGTGTGCTTCAGCAAGTCCCCCACCCACCTTGGCAATGTGCCCGACCCTGAAGTTTTAACAAGCTGAGATCAGAAGCTCCCTGCTTTTATCTTCCCACCTTGAAATGCCTGCTGCGGATCGCACCTGAAGCAAATGTCTTTGAGTTGTTTCCTATATCGCTGTCCTGGATTGTATTAGATGTTTGATGAATGTGTGTATTTCTCATATGTAAGCAGTGATATTAATATATGATTATACGCTTCCTACATTGCCGAAATAATCACATCTGTCTGAGCAACCTCACCCACTGAATGCTACAAACTGTTCTTCCATTACAGTGACCTTCGCCATGCTAAGTCCCTGTGAAAATGCATGGAAGCATCTAGATATCTAAACTCAGCTTTGAATAGTTAGATGAGGCCCTGTCTCCACAGCCACTGGACTCTCTGCACCATTATAGCAGGGGTGGACTTGGGTAAAATAATGCACTGAGTGAGGACAAAATTCAGCATCCTCCCTTCTCTTGCAGTGCGTTCTGTGCATGCTCTCAAGTGCATTTTGTCATGGTTTTGCACCCCATCTGCTCGATGACCTGGAGGGGGGGAACTGCCCACACCACCCTAAAACTGGCGCTGACCATTAGACTGAGTGAGCTGACTACCTCAGGCAGCTGATTTGGGGTGTCATGACAAAGCATCAAATTGGAAAATTCTAAATTTATTGTTACTGTATTCTTCATCCCAGGGGGAGGTGCTTTGGGAGTTTTGGCCTCAGGTGCCACTGTGATAAAATAGTTTAACTCCTAGGTGCAGGGCTGTTTCCAGAGAGTAATGCTGGGTGGCTTCTGCTCTGTCCAGTGGCAAATATTCTGTATAGTTCCACGGGATTCCACTTTGTCCCCAATGCTTTTAAATATCTGTATGAAGCTGCTGTGTGCAGTCATCAGAGAATTTGGGAGTCTGGTGTCATCAGTATGCTGGTGACACCTTCCGCTACCGCTCTTTACTATCTTAGCCATATGTGTTGGTGTTGAACCACTGCCTGGAGGCTGCATTGGATTGGAACTGGGGCTAATAAATGGAAACTGAATCCTGACAAGACAGAGACCAGTGCTTCTTGTATCTGAGCTGGATATTTGATCTGTTCTACTGAGAGCTGCACTCCCCCTGAATGAACA